TCACCCCCACGCATTCAAATAAACATTACATTGTATATGAAGTTAGTCGTTATATGTGCAGCAGTGTACACAAACACTTGGAGAGTGGAAAAGGGAAGAGGAAATAGAGAGAGAGAGAGGGAGAAAGAGAAAGAAAAAGTTCACTTTCAGAGTTCCGAGGAACTAATAAGAGCTAGAACAGCACTAAAGGCAAAAATACTGCTGTTGTAGGGATCATGACAGGTCGAGAAGATGATAATAGTATTACCTTAACAGGCTTTGTACCCCTGTGAGATTTTGTTGACGAAGTAATCGGATTTTAATGAGCTCAAGTTAGACAAAGTACCGATTATAAGTGAGGTGCAAACAGGGGCGGACTGGGTTAATATTTCAGGTCGGGATTTTTTTTTGCCAAGCCAAAATTAACAGGGGACCAACAATTTGGTCATAGGTATGCAAAAAAAAATAATAATGATAAAAAACCATTATTATTTAAAAAATATTTTCAACATTTTATGTTGATATACAAAATTACACATAATATATAAGATATTTTTTTATAGATATAGTGTACACATTTTAATATTATACCTATATATTAAAATTAACTCTTAAAGTAATTCCTTTTTTATATAATTAGGTTTGTTTTCATAACTTCACTAGTTTCCCCAATTTTCTGTCGATAAAATATCATTATACTATATTTTTAATTTCTAAAATATCATCAGGTGATTTAATCTATTATTGTAACGGGCCACCGAGATTTGTCTCGGTGTCCCGCCAGACCAGTCTGCCCCTGGGTGCAAGCAGCAGCTAAGAAAGTAACAGCTATAGTTGAAAGATTATGGTAAATAAAAAATAAGTAATATCGGTAAGCACGAAGAAAAAGCGTTTAGAAAAAAAAGTGGTCTTGTAAATAATAGGTTTTTTTTTAAATCAGCATTTAATTATTTCTAAACGATGCAACCACTTATCTAAGGGTTTATAACCCCCAGTTTGTAAAACGCTGGTCTACAAAATAAATAAATTAATAAAAATATATAAAATAACGAAATATGAGTAACGAATAAAATATAAATGTAAAATTCATTTATTTATTTACATGGTATTTTTTTCGTGAACTTCTTAAAATCTGGTTGCATGATGTTTGAGCATAATTCTGAGAGATAATTATCAGTTTTTTACATTGTAACGATATTTTGACTTGATTATTTTCATTATTGAATAAAACGATTTTCAAAAATATTTATTTTCAAATCATAGTTTTTAATATTTGAGTATTTTAAAATAGAAACATTCTTCCAAAATTCCATATTAAAGTAATGATTGTTTTTTTTTATTGTTTAAAACCTTCATCTTTTAAATGACTAAAAAATGTTTTCGAAATTTGCTTTATTTGTTACAATATGATATTGGACTTCTGTCTTCAATATAATATTAATTAAAAATGAATATTCTAATCCTAATACATATGAACAACCAAAAAATCCAAAAGAGAAACAAGTCGGCTCGGTGAAATACTTAGGACTACACCTAGCATAAGCGCAATTAGGGGGGCTTAGCCCCCCTCATAAATATTCCATGTTATAAATGGCATACCCCATACAGTATATTTAACTCACAACAGTGTCATATACAAAAAAAAGACAAATTGCAGTAAATCCATCTTGGCTCAGAATCTAAAATATATAAATATGGTATATAAGTATATAGAGTAGGGGTAATCTACAGGTTATTTTAAGTTTTGGTAGGAGGGTTGTGGAACCCTCAGATTTTTTACCCTAGTTGCGCCTATGACACCTTGATGAAAAACCAAACTGGAAAGTATACATAAATAAAATAATAAACTAAGGTTATACTTGACTGAAAAAACTGTACCCATATCAACTCACAGCTCAACCCTACGAATGAAATGTTCTCTATTATTATATATGGAAATAATTAGACCACAAATAACCCACACATGCCCAGTATGGACAGCCACCTCAAACAAAAATTAAAAAACTGTAAACTCTCAAAACTAAATTATTATAAATAGCCCTAAAGGACCGGTGATTTATAAGAAATAAACAACTACGAGTGCACAATGATACGGGTCTACCATACCTATCATTATGGATAACATAACAATTTAAAAACTTTCAAGAAAAACAACATAAAACTGAAGAAGCACTCCACTATAAGATGGGAAAAATATCCAAAATTTAAGATCAAAACCATAACTATACCTAAAATAAAATATTCTTCTGGAAACACAAAAAAACCCACCCGGACCCGTAAAACTAATTGTAATTCTAATAACGGACTGAACGTATTGTAATTCATTTGTAAAAATACCAAGTGTATTGAAACAATTTAAATAATTAATAAAAAAAATTTAAAAAATGATGTCGGTAAACTATATCTTTAACTAATTAGAAATCGAAAGTTGAAGAAAACTTTTATTTTTTTATTAAAAACACTGATAAGTTCTAGTAATTGAAAAAATTGAATTAAAGTTATTTTTACCAATAACTATTTAACAAGATCATACTATGGAATATCATTAAGAATATCATCTTTTATATCTTCAAAGTAGTTTTTAAACTAAAGATGTGGTTTTGCACTTGAGCGTAGGTATGTAATTTGGAATTTCTAAAACAACATCCATCATATTTAAAAAAATTAGCAGTTAGGTGTCTTTGGGTTCTATGGATAGTATAATGAATAAGTATACAATATGAGAAATTAGTATCATTTTTTTAGAAGTCCTATTAATTCATTTTTACAATCCACTATACTAGAAACCCCCATCAGTTAAAATGCTCGTCATTCTTTTTTACGAAATTTCAACTTTTCATAGCATTTCATCGAGAACAACCTTAATGTCTATACCCTGAGTAGTTTTTTTTTTAAAGCAATTAGATCCAGCAACTCTTCTTTCACTACTACATTCTTCATAACATAACGAACAAACATGAAAAACTGAGATTTATCTTGAATATCGATAGATTGATCTAAAGCGAGACTAAGAGGCAATTAGAAATGTCAATTTTTTAAATTAATGAAAATATCAAAACTACATTTGAAATACACTTTTCTATTGTATGCCTTGAAGCTGGTACATTTTTTCTGTATGTAAAAGTACAGGTCTTCCCATTCTCATAAGCGATTTGAATATTTACATCTTACCGGACAGATTAATTTTAACCATCCACCTACGCCGAAAACATTGTTCTAGCTTAGCTCGATTAACATTATAACTGTTTTAACGTTAAAACGTTAATTATGTAGCTATTTAACTACTAAGCACTAAGCTACTGACCCCGCCTCCAAAAAAAATTATTTTACAAGGGCACAATCCCAGAAGAAGGTACAACCAGCCTCTGCCCATTCTAATCTGGATACTCTTTTTTCTTCTTCAAATTTACGTTTTACCGCTCTTTTAATGTTTGACATCGTAATTAAACAATAATAAAATGTTACAAATGCTATCAAATACATAATTTCTATAATTATTATAATATTCATTGATATACATTTTCAGAAGGTTAGGATAAGCTCATCTCTAATTGCACAATACGCTCCAGAACCAAGGCTACAAACATTATTTTAACAAATTTTAACTTTTAACCAATCATTTAATACTATTTTACAACTAATTGCAGCAATTTGAGATCATAATGTTAACTAAAATAGTTCAACATTCTAAAATATTAAAATATTAATTCATTATGAACACATACTATAATATCTCAAATACTATTGAAAATAAATTATTTGTAATATGTGAATATTACAAATAATAAGTTTGTTTAAAAAGTTTTGAATCTACTATGAGTATCATTAGAATATTTATTTGAATTGTAGTACATTGAACTAGACAAATAATTTAAAATTTAATTTAGAAAAACTAAAATTATCTTACTTAAAAAGTATTTTAAGAATGAAAAATAATTTTAGAGTTAAATTTTTGGTTTAAAGAATTTTCATTTATAATTTTTGAACTCCTAAAGTGTCAACCAATATAAATCTCATAAATAAATGAAATAATGATTAAATTTAGGGTATTCTTATTTATAGATTATTAAAATACATCAATATATTTTGATTTTTTATTCCATATGATTTTTACAAATAATTAATTAAGCGATTCATAACAAGATTATTAAAAAATTATTGAATAAAAAATAATAGTAAAATCAAACATTGCAAACAAAAAGTGTATAAAATCCATAATACTAAATTTAATGACTGGTTAAAAATTAAAACTTGTTTAAATACTAAATATAAGACATAATATAAAACCAAATTATGTGTATTAAATTGCAATGTTTATTTAAGATATTAATACAATTGTTAAATCTAATACGATCAATAAAATATTACAGCTTGAATGAACTACTTAAAAACTATAATTCAAATATATAGTATGTACAAGGAAAAAAATTTAATGCAACTCAAATGTGTAATACTATTTTAGGAAAACGTTTAAATTTAAAACTAACAGCCTAACAAATATTATTGATAATCCATAATATAAAAGCTTAGATATAAATAAAAAATAACAATAGACAAGAAAAGGTTCACTACACAATCCAATGTATTGTAATTTTAAGTATTTAAAAAAACATCAACAGGCTATTTTATCAAAAAACAATTAAAATAAGTTATTAATCCCATATAAACATTTTTATTTTATCAGATACGGATAAAATCGTAAATAAAAAACATATTAATATTTCGTAAACTAAAATAAAAAATAAAGTAAATAAAACAAAAAATTTATATAAATTAAATTATCATACAAATAATAACAATGTTTTTAATGAAATTAATTATTTGTTCATTTGTAGATAATATTAATTAATACTTATTATATTAAGAAAAACTAAATATAAAATAATAGACATATAATTCTAAATGATTAATAATAATTCAAGTGGTTTTGCAGTGTGAATTAAATTTTTAATTATTTATTTTATTTTAATATATATATTTAATATTGCAGTCATAATAATTATCAAATCATACATTTTATTTGCCACATTTTCTTTAAGTGAATTATAAAGTATGAAAATTCACAATTTGAGTCAATCCTAGTAGTCATTTATTTATATATATATATATATAATTATCTGTCAATACTTTTAATCGCTGTGTTACATAAAAAAATATAACAAATGTAATGATTTCTAATAAATTATTAATTTTTAATGTTGTCCCAGATAATATATTGTTTTATACATTAATCTACTTTTTATATTATTGTTAAATACAAAATCAATAAAAATTAAGACCTAATAACCAAACTTTTGCTTTTTCAGTCTCCTTTTGGATTTTTGTAGTTCACCATCTGAAATATCAGAGTTTTCTGAACCTGAAACATCTAGTGCTAATTCACTAGACTCCATAGCATAGTTTCCAGTAGCTTTGGCTCTCTCTAAAGTTCTTATTTGAGATTCCAAAATATTATTCTGTCGCTTGAGATCATCAATATCTTGTTGGTGAGACACATTTTTACGCCTCATAAACTGTATATAATCAGCAGCTTTTTTTAATATCTGTGCTCGGCTAGCAACTTTTTCACCTTGTAATGATGGAACAGAATCTCTTAAACTTGTAAAACTGTCTTTAATATGGTCACGCCGCTTACGCTCTAACGCATTATGGTGTGCTCGCTTTTCTGCCGTCTCCAATTCAATATCTCGGTCATCATCACTCATCTTAGTTATATGTTTTCAGTTCACTCTCGTACTTTCTGTAAAATGTAAACAAATTTAGTATATTTTATAATGGATATTAAACTGAAAAAACTTCAACTACAAATTTTAACACTTAAATTATAGATTTAAATTAATATCATATATAATATATCACCTAAAATAAAAAAATTAAAAATTAAAAGAAATCAGATTCTGTAATAAGAATAAAATACTTAATGAGTAATAAATTAAAAACGAGATAATATTATTCAAATCAAATGTTTTGAAAGCAATTTTTCTTTAATTGTATAAACAATTTGGAGAAGTAAGAAATTCAATATCTTTACACCAAAATAAAATCTAATACCTAAATAACTGCATACAGAAATTATAATTGAGTACAATAACGGATTTTTAAAAAAAAATTAACCCAAATAAATGTTGTGGTTCTTTCAAACTTTTTGATATCGGTCAAAGAACGGAATAAGTTTATAAATTTCAAGTGTTTGACACATACAATAGATGGGTCAATATTTGTTTTCTTTTCATTGACAAACAGCAATTCTTGGCACAAACGATTTAGCAACACTGTGCTACAACAACATATTAAGCACGCGGTACCCGCCAGTATTAAGCAGTAATATAACGCAGCATTCCTACCGTTGTCATTGAAAAACGAGTATAAAAAATATCCACTCACATGTAATACTGTCTCCAGCGAAACCTTCAAATATATAAGTATAGTGAAACTTCTAATTTACACAATATGAAAACACATGTGAATCGCTGTTGTGGCTGTGAAATAGGAAACCTTTGGTTCAGTATGGCGGCAGTGAAATTTATTTAATAAAAGTTAGAACTATAAAAATTGCAAATTTTAATTTTATTCAACAATGTTCTTATCATTCTAGTCGAAGAGCAACATGATTACCACAATGTGTATCAACAAGAGTCCTGTTACGAGACCGTGGTATCAATGTTTGGTTGTGTTGGCCCTACTGGTGGTGTACATTTCGCATTTATGTCTAAACGATTCGTTGTTCACACTGATCAAAGAACCCCAATAACTGCCGACTGAACTGGCCTTGCCCGTCCAAATAGTGATACGTTTAACGGTCGTTTTTTCTGTTGAATTTCATGTTAATCGTATCGTTGATTCAAAAATAGCAAACAATAATAAATGCAAATTTTACTAGTTCGTTGATGACCGTTACCAAAGTAAGAACTCATTATGAACATTTTTATTCCTTATGCGAAAACAGGTTTCCGATTTTCTTAACTGATTTAATACATAAATAAATATCATCAACGTATTTAAAATCATGTTCTTGTGATTTAAAGATTATAAACTGTTGCAGATACAATGAAGAGAGTTGGAAATCAACCAGTCAAGGTCCAAAAAAAATCTAAAGCTGATGATGAAGCTAGAGATCCTATCCAAGTTTATTGTCGGATTCGTCCAGTTTCATCTTATGTGGAATCGCCTTGCATCAAGGTTGTATCTGACACTGAATTACAAGTGTATTGTCCACCAGATGAAAGAGGAATATCAAAAGAAGGGCAGTTCACCTACAAAAAAATATTTACCGATTATGAAACCCAAGAAGTGGTCTTTCAAGACTTAGGATTACCTCTTATAGAACAACTTTTATTGGGAAAAAGCAGTTTAATATTTGCTTATGGAATATCAGGTAGTGGGAAGTCCTATACAATGACTGGTAACCAAGAAGATGGAGGTATTGTTGGCAGATGCTTTGATGTTATTTTCAACTCTATTCGAGATTACCAGGCTAGAAGATTTACTTTTAAGCCTGATAAACTTAATGGGTTTGATGTATTCAGTATGGAAGATGCTATGATTTTTAAAGCTGAAGATTTCAAAAATAATGTAAGAAATCCTCCAAAAACACCAAAGAGGTAATTAAATAAATGAAAATACATTTCCTTAACATGTATAAATTTTTTACTATATTTTCAGAAAAGATGGAGAGACAGATCGTATACCATTTGATTATAAAATTATAGATATAGAACAAGATGTAGCTTATTCTGTTTTTATAAGTTATGTGGAAATATATCATAACTATGTTTATGATCTTTTAGAAGATGTTTCTGATGGTGAAATAAGACGGTAAATAAAAAAAAATTAATTATTTCTTATACATTTTAATTTGTGTTTTAATATTTCATAGAAACAGTAAAATAATACGAGAAGATGCAACTGGCAATATGTATGTTCATGGTGTTAATGAACAAGAAGTTTATAATGCAGATGAAGCTTTTGATTGGTTGAAAAAAGGTCAACTTAGGAAACGTACAGCACCAACTTTTTTAAATATGGATTCCAGTCGTAGTCATACAGTTTTTACTATTAGAGTTGTACAAGTAAATAAATAAATGTTTACTCTCATCTTCATAATTATTCCTATTAAACAATGATTTTTCACCGAGAACAAAATATAAATTTTAATATATTAATTAATATTGTAAAGAGTATTTTAATTTAAAAATCATTCTAGGTATGAATATATTTGAAATTATCTAGAAACTATAATAAATATTTTTGTTAAAGTTATAAATAAACAAGTAATGTTATTAATTTTTATATTCGAGGGCTAAAAAAAATTAGAGGAATATTAATAATGTAAAATGGTCTAGGATAATAATAAATGAAAGAAATAGCTTTTCTTATTTATTGTGACACTTTAGTGTACTAAATACAAATTGGTAAAAATTTTCTTTTATGGAATCTGTTGCATTATACATTAATATTTACTATTTTCTAATTTCTATTAATTTGTGTTTGAATGTAAAAATAATAAATATTGTATTAGGCGCCTTTGGATACTGATGGTGTAAATATAATTCAAGATAAAAAGTATACAGTAGTGAGTCAACTATCACTAGTCGATCTAGCTGGAAGTGAACGAGCTGGAAAGGCAAAGACCACTGGTCAGCGACTTCAGGAAGCTGGTTAGTTTTTTTTTTTATTATTATTATTATATCGATTACATCTTATTTTTTATCTTAATTTTTTTTACAGGAGAAATAAATAAATCTTTGTCGAATTTGAAACAATGTCTTAAAATATTGTATGAAAATCAGTCATCTAGCAATTTAAGAAATATTGCAGAGAAGATACCTTATAGAACATCACGTCTTACACATTTATTTAAAAGTTTCTTTGAAGGTTCTGGTTCAATTAGAATGCTTATTTGCATAAACCCTCTATCTGATTATGCAGAACTTTTGGTAACTATAAATTCGATTTACCATTTAATCAATTATTCATTCATTTATCGTGTTACTGTTTGAAGCCTGTGCTGCAATTTGGTGAAATGTCTGGAAGTGTCCAAGTGAAACGAATGACACCGTTGCGTATGGATTTAGGTTTGACTCCAGGGCGAAGAAAAGTTGTTGATGTAAGTGTTGCTGTAAATTGTAGTTAATGAAATCTGATATAAATATGATTTAGATTCAATCTGTGAACCGAATTCCTTGTGTATTAGAAGAAAATACTAGAGGCCAAATGGAAAAAAAAAAATCTTATGATGTAAAAGAAAACTGCTTCTCAAAGTAATTTTTATCAATGACCTTTTTTTAAAGAGATAGTTTTAATTATCCTGCTCATATGTCTATTAGTTACTTGAATTTGGGGCCACCATTGCCAGAGTTAGTGGGTGATGATTTACTTGATGAAGAAAAGAGACAAGAATTAATTATTGCTCTTGATCAGAGAATAAAAAAAAAGGACGAACTTCGTGAAATATTGATTAATCAAAGTATAAAATGAATTTAAAATGCTTGTTAACATGTCAAAAAATTATTATTTTATATTTTCTAGGTAATGATATTCGGTCACAGTTAGTGTTTTTAGAAACCAATTTTGCTGGTGCTAAACAAGAAATAAATTCATTGCAAATTCTTAGGGACCAAGATACTAATAAAGTATTTATAACCATTAACTGATTGTGATTAATCATTATTATTAAATTACAATATTTTTTTTATAGATTAAGCAATATCAAAATAAAGCACTTCTACTGGAAAATGAAATGGTGTCATTAAAAAGAAAATTAGAATCACTAGATAGTGAAAACAAAAGACTAAAATCAGATGTAAGTCCAAAATTACACTAATCATATAACAGTTTTTAAAAAATCTAAATTTCTTTATTTATACATTGTACTTTAGTTTTGTTAAATATGTTTATAATTTTCTAGTTGAATGCAAAAGAAAACATGTTAAATCAAGTATCTGTTGATAAAGATCTATTAAAACAAAAGTACAATACAAAAATTGTTAAAAAACAAGAGCAACTATCTAGAGATTTCAAGGATAAATGGAAAATACAAGAAAATGAGTTTGAAGTTTGTACATTTTAATTTTTTTCTAATGTTTATTATTTAAAATTCTAAAATTTGAAGACCATTTTATTTAAAGATTTAAGAACAAAAATTAATCTACCTTAAGAATTATTTCCAATCAATTAGCATACATTTATAAACCAACAGTTCTTTGCTGTTTCAAATTTTAATTAAAAATTGTTCAAAACTTTATTTTACTAACCTTGAGTACTAGGTTTAGGTATATAGATTTTACAATATAATATTTTTATCTTTGGCTAGTAGTTAAGTAATACAATTTTGATATTTAGGCTAAACTACAAGAAAAGAAACGCAAACTTAGACATATCAAGAATATTGTAGAAAGTACAGAGAGTATTCCAGGTCATTTTTCTAGGCGTCCTGTTAAAAGAACCTTATCTGATGAAAGTTTAAATAAACTAGAACCTGTTGTAAATGATGCTAAACCTACAGATTTTAAAGCAAATGAGGTAAGAAAATATACTAAATTTTAAGAGTTATATACTGAAAAGTTGTTTACATTGTGAAATATTTAATATTTAGCAATCAGAAACCGTATTAAGGCATTTACGTTCAAGGAGGTCAAAGTCATGTGATCCACATGAGCGTTGGATTGAGCACAAACCTCCAGTGCCTACTCCACTACAAACTATTATGCAACCCAAGATGAAGAAACGTAAGTCTGTTACTAAATTAACAGATGCCAAGACTGTATCGAACAATGGTGCATCAAAATATTGTTTGTTGACTCAAGGATCCAATGAACAAGGCATTCCAGAAGCTAAATTATATAAAGTACATATATTTTAATAAAATCGTTCTAAAAAACATCATTAACTTTGGTCGTTTATAGGCTGATATAATACAAACCATGGGTGGAGGTGCACAGGTTGTATTCAATGATGTTGAAACATTAAAACAAGATTCACCATTAGGTGGCTCTCCTGTGAAAAGTCGTATCCAAGCATACAACAATGAAGTACGAGCTCACGGTGGTGATACAGATGATGTACAAGCAAAATGTTATGGTATACAAGGTGGGTACACTCCTGTTTCAAGAAAATAGATTTTTTTTTCTTTTATATATTATATATGTGATTGTACAATTTACACCATGTTAATTGATTTTTTTTATTATTATTATATACAATTTAAAATAATTTCTAACGGTAACTTATACTAGAAATACATTTTTTTATTGTTAACAGTATGTTTGTAATATTAATTGTAAATAATCTAATTTTTTTAATGAATTGTACATTATATAATTTTTTAAAGTATGCAATATTAACACATTTGTACGAGTATAAATACAAATTATTTAACAGCAGTATTCAAACTTTTAATTACACAATGTATTGTTAAATTCTCTATAAAATGTGCCTATCACGAACTAACAATATTATATTTAGCACAGTGTTTTCCTTACTAATAAGACATTTGATTTATAAATTATATTTTTGTAAATACTGTTATGACAAAATTAAACAAATTAGCTTCAGATTTGTAATAAGACGATGATCATTTACCATTTAGGGTTCATAATGTTATGCATTTATTTATCATTTTTTTTTCGTCTAAATATTAGATATAAGTAAAAAAAAATTAACTCTTTATAATTAAATATAATAAAGGGTGTTACTGCTTGTGGATTTAGATACATCCCCATTGGATTTCAATTTTCAATTAAAACACTTAACTGATTGAATGATGTAGCAACTTGCTGATAGGTATCTGTAAACATATAATTAAGCACCATTGCATAATCAGTATAAATACAAGTGATTGATTAAGTTGGCCTTGTAATTTTTTTAAAAAAAATGTTTCATTTACGATAAATATGAATCAGTGGTTACCAAATAGTAAGAATCTGTAATCACGACTAACTCTCCTAATAGTATATTCTCGCCCAGTTTACGACTCCGTGTGAACCCGACTTTAGGTAATTTGTTGAATCTGTTGAAGGCGTGAATGCTACTTTATTCGAAGCCATAGGCTAATTAAAAAATTTTGTGTTTAAAAAATTCTATTTCATTACGTAACTCGAAGTGAATTTTTATTCCCCTTCAACTTTGAGTTATCGTGACTCGACTGTACTAACTTTTAATTTTTGTTTAATTATGAAAAAAAAAAGTTTACTATTTATCTTAATTTTACATTTTTTTTTTTGTAATAATATAAACAAAGATTGAACTCAAAACTTACAAAATAAAAAAAATGATTATTTGATTTAACACAACTTTACATCAAACATTATTTCAATTACCTTTTACAATTTAATTATGAGTTTCTTAAATTAGTTATTGCGTTGATTTTTGAACATTATGAGACAAGTGAATCTTTTCTTTTTTCTTCATAATCTCGTCCAAGTTCGGCTACATCAGGCTTTATTGTAAGGTGCAGTAGGACACTAATTGTGCATTAGGAACAATAAAATGTGCTGTAGAATTAACGAACATGTGCACTTTATTATTATAAACATGACGAATTGTTTGAATATTATGTTAGTGAAACCGATATTGGCTACTTCCACGTCTTTAGATTCATTATCTGCTTCATCAAAATCAATAAAATGAGTGTGGAGAGTGTATGGCGAAGCCTTCTTGTAACATATATTTTATTTGTGCAGTTGGAAAAAATCATTACAGTAAAGCCTGGGCTACATGCTTGATATTTTCACACTTAACTCTGCGTCAATATTAAGTCTATTATGATATTTGTTTTTCATGTAACAGTAGGTAAAAAAAAATACCTCTGGACAAATTTAAAATTAAAAACACCTGTCGTTCTTTTTCAATGTCTTCAGAACACGATTAATTAACGATAATTACTTTTATTGCGAGTATTTGATGTTATCACATTTATATGTTGTGCAAAATAAAGCTTCAATAGTTCAAAATATAGCCAGAATTTCTTATACGATTATGAATTTAATTATTAAAAATAACTACAGTACTGCACAACCTTGGGCCACCAAATTGTTACCACTGATTTAAACCAAAATATATTTATTTTTTATTTTTGTTATTATTATGCCTTTGTTAATAAACATTACAGCAAAAAATAAAATAATAATGTATTATGCATTAATGCAGATAATGAACACAAAATAGATAACTTATGTATATTATGTACCTATATATAATTATAAGTTTATGAGGATTGTTGATGACATTTTATCAATTATTATATTAAATATATTAATAACTGATCAACCTAGTAAAGTGATTTAAATTTTCAATACTGATATAAATTCATTATTATGTCTTAGATCAATCGGTCCACTTTTTAAAATATAATTGAATTTTACATATACAGGGCCGGCTCAAGGTATAGGCGAGATAGGCACCTGCTTAGAGCGGCACTTTAGTAGGAGCAGCATTTTCAAAATTGAACCGAACATTTATTTAGTTCTATTGGTGTTTTATAAGAAAAATATTTAAATTAATTCATTCGTAAAAACCACTTACATAATATAATAAAATAATATTGTCTAAAGTTATTATATTATTTTATATTACGGCCTATGCTGGGCGTTTTCAATTATTCAAAAAATTAAACAACCACATATCCGATAGTCGCGGTAGTGATGGGTTTTGAGTAATAGAAATAGAAATTATTTTTTGATCTTTTTACATAAAATTTTATCCATAAAATTAAAAATTAAAAAAAATTTTAAGTAGATATTTCACATAAAAAATAGGGGAAGGGGCTAAGTTAAAATAAGAGCTCAATTTTTTTTTTAGAGGCGTCAAAATTTGATATTGCCTAGTGCACTATTTATGCTTGGGCCGGCCTTGTACATATATATATATATTAAATTTTATAAACATCGCAATTAAATTTCCAAAACAAATATTTTTCACATTTTGAATTACTGATATAATTTTCTATTATTACTTACATTAAATACAGATGATTTAGAAATGGGTTGTAGTATATTATCACTTGTGTAAAATATTAACTAGAACATACTGGGCTTTCAAATTGATTATCACTGAGAAGTGAAAAGATAACAATGAAGTAAATTATTTTATTAGATTAAACTAATTAATTATAACTGATTTACAAAATATTATCATATTTATCTGTAATACCTAAATTTTAACTAAAAATGTAATTTTTTTTCCGAGCTTCAAGATCCAGTATTCAATCAAAATTGACTCAGTATCCATATGATGTAGAGTATACATTAAAAAAAAATACAATTATTTGATGTATACATATTTTAATCACAAAAAACAAAATTATTGTAACTAACATCAAGTATCAACAGAACACGTTTGTACAACACACACGATATTGATTTCATTTTTATTATTATATAATATAATTATAGAAAGTTTTTAACTAAAACTCTCTTTAAATATTTTGGTTATCGACTTTGATTGAATTTAAAACTATTATCAAATCAAAACGTATACTGTATTTAAGTACAATAATAAAAAAAAATAATGATAAATTAAATAAAGGCTGTTCTATAATATATTCTGTTTTTATAATATACAATATCGTACGTAAATGTACAATAAAGTCATAGTTTATAACAAATTAAATACTAGTGTAATTTGAAATACATATACATAATATATAACACGACTATAGTCATCATAATAATATGACTATGTTAACACCCGTGGTTTGAGAAGTAAATTAACAATAGATGTCACAAGCAATTATAATAATATAAAGCCAGTTTTCATAGAAAACGACAGACTAGAATCACAGACCGGCAAGGAAAATCGAATGTCTAAAGATAATATACATAATACATTAAAATTTATAAATATGTTTATAATAATATAATATAAATATATAACTAATTTTTTATTTGTAACTTATTTCATTTAGTTGAATTGATTTATAAATTATAAATGGGGTCGTTTTGGTCCCTATTAAGTGAAATTTAATTAGATACATTTTTTTTTCGTTTTCGGTACAATTTGAAATGCGAATAACGATCAATTTATTTTGAGAGCAATAGTATTATTACATAATTTTCTCTGACAATGAAAAAAAAGTAAAATAGGTAAACATCTTCACATATTTATATTATAATATTAACAAAGAGAAAAACTGTTGGACTTGACCAAAAATAAATAGATTACTCTAGGTATTAAAGAATTAATGAGATAAATTATAATATATATATTTACATATAATTTGTTTTGAAATAAATGTCCAGGGCATACAAGATCGGCTTTCAATCAAAATGTTTTTTTTTTTTTTGTTTATAATTCGGATTCCATTACATAGCTGAGACTTAATTTTAGGAATAATGTTTCCAAATTACGACCACCTTGTTTACAAATACAAAAAAAAAAATTCAATTAAAACCCAATACATATGCCGCCTCACCATAACTATTTACTGGGACATTATTTTAAAACATTTATGCATAAAAATATATAAATTTCAGGATTTTAATCAGGTACAATATAGAAAAAGAAAATAGGTAAACAACTTGTTTCATTAATAAATTATTCGGCTATATATTTATAAATTTAAAGATACATCAATGCCTGTTTTATTGCAACATACCCAAAAATCTAATACTAAATGCTCTTCGCTGTGTGTAGAAACACAGTTTATAACATATGTACAATGCGGTTGGCAAGAATAATCATGTACAGCAACGAGCGTCATATTATTTTATTTTAATAAAGATATATTTTTACAATACTGTTGAATAGACACATAGTGTTGGAATAAACAAAAAAGATGAAGACATTTCCCTTAGTATAAGTAGAAGAAAAAAAACTAATACAATAAAGAGAAAACATTTTGCTCAGGAAGAAAATCTTTAGTGTACTTTGTTAAATGAATACTTGCCACTAACCAACACTGATAAAATCAAGAGTAATAAATCTATGTAATCAACTTAACAGTTATATAGATAAAATTTCAGTAAACTTAGCAGCCAAAACATTTACAAGACATAAGAATCACAATAATAATTTATTAGTTAAAAAAAATTAACCAAATAAGAAACAAAATGGAAATGATTAAACTCAAAAATAGTAAAAGCTTCATTGTTCAGTCAAAAGATTTTTAAACTAATAACTAATAAAATGATTGATAGGTTATTCATTTAAAACAACAATGACTATAATAATAATAATAATAATAATAATACTTATTTGAATTGTGCTGCTCATATTTAAGAAGGAAGTAATGATATATTTGAGCATGATAAAATTTGAGAATCAGCAGTTGATGAAATGTATACATAAAAAACTTAATAAAACATTGTCAAATAATTGACTAATACTTGTCCTTGTTTTTGCAAACAACTAAAAAAACAATTGAATCCAATAATGAAAAAAGAAAAAAAAATAATATTGCACAAGAAATGAATATAATGGTAACAGAAAATTGTAAATTTCCAAAGTACGACTGAATTTCTAAAACGAAACTCCTAAAAAGTAGAGTCCTGCTTTTGTTTTTCAATAGCCTATGTACGATTATTAATTATGTGGAACTCTATATACTAATAACAAAGCATCTTACAAATTACTCTACATTTAGCATGCTCTAAATGAAATGTTTAGGAGGAGGTGGCGTTTTATAAGGTGACTGATTAGGTGAACTGTCACCCAGATCCAATCTCAACTCAGTTTCAGTGCCCAAAATTGGACAAATGTTCAACTGATCTAAAGAAAGTGATACAGCTGCAACATCTGGCATTATTATCTGTTCACCTCGGCCATCAAAATCATCTTCATCTTCATACTAGTAAATTCACCAGTAAATATTAAAATGAGAAAAAAAAAACCAAAAAATTATATTATAATTTAAAAACTCACTCTCATATTATTAGTATATCGTAATGATGAAGCCATATCATTTACAACGTAAGGTCTATGTGGTTTTCTTAATTTGTGTTGCGCATACACAGATGGTAAGGTACTAGTTCCTAAACCTTTTCGTTTTTCTTTTCTTGTACGACTACTTCGAGATCTTGAACTTTCTTTTGGTTTTTCATCAGGGCCACCACCACAATAACAAACCGAACTAGCTGCTTTCTAAAAGTTATTATGCATTTAAAACACAAAACATTTTAAAATTACACTTAAGTATTCATATTACCTCTAAAAGATAAGCTACAGGATCAGGTAAATTAAACTCTCGAACAACTCTTAATCTGATTTGATGATTAATTTCTTGTCGATTAGATAATGGCAGTGATATAGCACGCTGACAACCTGGGGCAGATCTCAGTTTTTGATCACGTTTAACCATTGCATTCATTGTTGCTGCATCTGGTGCTATATAATATAAAATATATTCACGTTTTAAGAAATAAATCAACAGTAAAAAAAAAATTATTTTCATACTAGGTATTGAAGCGGTCAACACATCAAGGGATGAAAGACCATATGATGATGGAGTTGGTTTTTCTTCGATCATATACAAAGTATCAGGTATACCATCAGGCATATATCTAGTTCGTCGAACAAGTTCCTCATCCTCTCTTAACATTTGATCTTCAAATAATGACTAAAGCAAATCATTTTAAATACAATTTTATTTAAATTAAATTGTGTTATAGTTTGTTAGTCCCATAATAATAATTTATATTATATTATATTTTAGAAAATAAATAATTTTTCATTTAATTTTAATTGTTATTAAATTTGAAATAATAATAGTTATTAAAATTTATAATACTCAAAATAAAATTTTAGTAAATAAATTAAAAACATAATTTAGTTCAAAACTTACTTTAATTTCATCATAGTATGGAATAAATAGCCTAGGTCTCACATAAAGCCCCGATGGATGTCTAATCCAAGCATTGATTCGGGACATGTGGTGAGACAATATTGGTGAATCATTTCCAATCATATGACTTGGTGGTGAACTTACTAAACCTCTTCTAATTGCTTGTGTTAATGTTTCATGTTCTGTAGGGATAACATGATCCATACGTACCAAAGGTAAGAGTTCAGATAATATTTCTCGAAGTTCTACATCACTCAAATCTCGTTTTTTCACACCTTTCCTGCTTACAGAATGTGTTGTTTGACTCACCAAATTCGGCTCTGAAATAAAATAAATAAATGATAAATAAACAATTAAATTAAATTCATTAAAATTTCAATAATATCATACCTCTATCTTCCATACGTTTTATCAATTCATGTTCCCCCCATTTCAGAACAGCTTGTAAGACTTCAAGCTCACTTGCTTGTAAAAAATTACTCTTTAAACAGTCTATAAGATGAGCTTTATCAAGTTGAAACAACACAAGACTATTGGCAACTTGAGAAAATTCCTCACGTAAAAAATGCTTAGCTTGCCGATGAACCCATGCTGACCCGTGCGGTAAACTTCCCCACCTGTACACAATTTATTATTTTATTCAGATTTAAACAAAAATATTTAACATGATATTATTCAAATTATTAACACTAATTAATTACCGAAGTACTCCTGGAAGTGATTCAAGTGTAAGCCATTCTAAGATAAGATCTTCACAACCTTGGGATACAATTTCCAACTCTAGAAAACGACCAATTTGATATAATTCCATAGCTTCATCTAATGGACTAGGTCTAACACGTCCAGTATTTGTTAGAGCTTCAACCTAAAGTAAACAACCTTAAGTATTTCTAGTTGCATATTATTTTAAGAATTTGTTTAATAATTACTTCACTTAAACTGCCAGCAGAAGAACCACATCCAGAACCTCTTAATATCAGAGACAAGTCAACTGTGTCTAAATAAATGGCATGTAAAAGTACTCTTGCATATCGTTTTGGAATAACTGATTCGTCTAATACTATTCTGTAATGTTTGAAAGTAAATAATTAGATTTATAATTAAAAAATTATTGATAAACATAATCAACTCCAGTACAAACCTTGTAGGAATATGTAAAGCTCTTTCAGTATGTTCTTCTCCAGATTTAGTTCTTCGTTGTATAAGATTTCTAAAAAATGGTGACCTAGCACTAAGTATAGATTTATGGCATGGCAGTTCCAATTTTGGTTGAAAACCATATTCAGATCCAGTAGATTCTGGTCTTCGATCTGAATATCCTTCTGGAATGAACACCAATGCAGCATCTGCATAGTCACCAGTTTCTAATAGGTATCTTAAATCATTTTCTAATACATTTGGTGTGCCCAGTTCATCACCAAGTCTCCTTAATAAAGCTAAATCTATATTCCCATCTCTAGGAGCTATATCGCCTGTGTATAGGAAACATAGCAATGCTGAAAACATATCTACATCAACACCAGGGGTTCTCAAATCTAAACAAATGCGTGCTCCATAACCAGGGCAACCCAATAGCAATTCACGAAAATATGGACACCGAGCTGATAATATTGCTCTATGTACTGGGAAACAAACACCACGGAAAATGAGATCAACATCGGTACAATATTTATGATCATATAGAGTAGACAAGTCTTGTTTAAATGTAGCAGCTGGAGGTCTTGCTAGTTCTGCTTGTACAGACAAATCTTTAAGGGCAGCTAATGCTTCATATTCTTCAAGCAAAGCAGTAACTTCAGCTGGTGACCAGTCGGAAATCAACTCTCTAATGATGCGACTATGATTGCACACCTTGGAATACCGGCGACGCTTTATAAGCTTTTTTCGCAAAGTAGCAAAACCAGACATACGCATTTTACGTCTCTCCCTAAAGATATGAATATAATATTAATAGAATTTTAAAATATTCGAGATAGTAATTATATTTTAAAAAATAAATGGAACATTACTTTATTACAACTCCTGGATAATTTTGAACGTCCAAATTTGGATATTCATTAGAAGAAACCCCAGCACCCATACTGTCTTCCGGCCAAAATCTTTTCGTCATCCCATCATATGACCATACACAAGATAATAGTGCGAAACATACATTCATCACATAGCTATTTGCTCTGAAAATATGAAAATTATAAACATAAGCTATACAAAAAAATCAATTAATGAATCTACAATTTCTTAATAAAATATTAAGACAATCATTAAAAATGTTTGGTACAATTATGATAATAATGCATTGAAATAAAATATAAGATTTAAAGAGATAATTTTAACTAACTACTAGGGTTAAAACTATGCAAGTTATATATAAAAATAGAACATTTAATAAAATGAACTAGTGTTAAGTAAATGTAACTACATGTACCCTTATTTGTTATAAATATAGATATTTCTCCAATATCAAATGTTGTAAATAAGATCTAAGCAATTACAAAATCGTCACAGTAAATAAATAAAAACAACACAGTTGACAAAATCTTATTAATAAAATTGGGTCACACCAATTAGTTATGATAAATAAGAAGCCACTGCCAGCAATAATCAAATGAAATCGAACTACTGTGATACGCAGATAAAATTGAGTTCTTAATATACAGAATATAATTGAATGGTAAACATTGAAAAACCAATAAAACCAATAAGCTTTGTTCGAATAAGATCTAATGTCTAACAACATAACTTAGCTACTTACATTGTACAAACGTTTCTTGACCCGCATTCTCGTGATCTTCGATATGATGATCTGTACTGCGTGTACACTGGGTCCAAGTCTAAATCAACATTTTGAAGTAGCTATCTAAGAGAAATTTCAAAAACGAAACGAAATCTGAGATGTATAATATTTGGAATATATATTCAGCTAAGAAGATATTTTGTTCATATTACTATTGATAAAAAAAAAAACATCAACACGCCTACAAAAATGGCTACAACGTCTTTGGAAATTATTTTCCCAATAGGAAAAAAAAAATACAAGAACACAAAATCTTCAGATAGTAAATTAAGAATTTCCCAGACGTGGAAGCACGGTATTACATTTTCACGGTTTTTCGTTTACAATTTCCATCGAATTGATTCGGTTCGATTCCAATGAACATTTTCCAGAGTAATGTTTTCCATCAATATTGTTAATTTATGAAACAACTCCAATTCGTGTCCTCCTTGGAATCGAACGCACTGATAATGAAAACATGTGATCAACGATAAGAACCGAAATACTTGGTAAACACGGTGTTCGGAATTTTAAAATGTTTGATATATTTTCACAATTTTTTTTACTATAGCAAAATCTAACTACAATAACTGTGCATCCAATATTTTTTTGTTCTTGTTTATAATCGCCAGTGTTATAACTCATTTGAGGATAATATTGTCAGCCTATAGTCCTTGGGAACCAAAATTCGTTTACTATATGTTGCATTCTATTATCCACGGATTTTAAAAAGATTGTAAGTATTTTAAAAAATTAAATGATATTTTATTTTATTCACTAAATGATTTAACAATTATTCCTACTCTAAATGTCTTACTGTTTGCGTCAAATAAAATTAATTACAAATTTTATACTTCAATGAAATAATTTTTTTACGAACTTGGAATAGATTTTAATAGTTCTTAGCAATTCGACATTGCCCCCCCCCCCCCCCCCAAAAAAATGATGTAATTATTGATCTTTCATTTTTTTTTTCAATACCCGATTAAAGTTAAAATAAATAAAAATTTAGCATCAGAACAACTATAAAAACCAAATATCCAGTTTGGGAAGTGGTGAAAATGTACTGACATTCTTAGTTGAAAATATATTTTAAAAAAACAATCATCAAAATATATTAAGAAATTGTAGTATTTAACACTTCGCTTAATATTAATATAATTTAAAATGTTGAATGATTCAAATTTAATTAATAGGTAGGTTATCAATCTAAAAATATATATATATAAACATAGGCGGACCCAGACTTTTACATGTGAGTGTACCCTATCATTTTTTGAAGTTATTTTATTTAAATATAAAGGGGACACTATAAACAAATTCAAATTGTTATTGAACATAAATTTATTGATAATAATATAATTTTACCTAGTGTCAGTAAGTTACTTGATTCACATCACGTTGAATGAAATCAAAAATACCAAAATTATTATTTTGTTAATCATCAGCGCTGCGTCTGTTTCCGAGAAATGATAATATTTTAGCTAAAAAAAGTTACCTACCACCACTATTAAACCACTATTAGAGCAAGATTGTCATGTTGACAACAATATCATTGAATATAATAATAAACAAGTACGTGTGGACCTTGTAATTATATAATTCTAAAAATTAAGGCTTTGTTAATATTGTAAAATAACGATTGGTAAAAAATATTTGTAATAATTATTTCAGATTTATTCTGAACACTTGCAGTATTACCTACAAACAACTAGAATTTAATTAATGTGTATTATTATACCCATTGCGAAAATTCGCAATAGATCGATACATAAACACATTTTAACAAATCAATAAATGAGTATAAAATTGAAAATTGAAAGACATATTGAAATGACAGAGAGTGTTTATTAAAATATATGTTCCGCAGCATTAGGCTAGACTATTTATGAGAGGTTGTAATTATTACATAAAATCATTTTACAGTGCTTCCTACCAGACAATATTAGGTAATATAAGTAATAATATTAATATTGTTTATGAGTTGTTTATTGTCATATCACTGGGTAAGAGCAAATGAGAATGCAGTATTTGAAAAAAATTGAAGGTAAAGTTGATTGCGCTCACATAACTTTCCTCAAACTCAACGAATTTAAACAGTTAATAGCTCAAAAGAAAGAGCATGATCGTTGATAGAAGTTGAGTACATTTCAATGATTGATGACATATCTGTGTCCAAATACCTTTCATATATAAAAAAAATGAAGGAAATCGGCCGGATAGAACAGCCAGACTTTAGTTTTCATACATTTTTTTAATATATAAGATGTATATTCTTAGTTGTTATTATTCAATTTTTTTATTCACATTATTCACACTAGGGTGTGTCAAAGCACACCCGGCACACCCTATAGATCCGTCTATGTATGTATATATATATATATATATATATATATATATTAATTTAAATCAAGTACTAGAAATAATTATCTTATTGAATAAATCGAAAAAAAAATGAAATAATTTAATCCCACGCGAAAAAGTAAAAAATGTTAATAAGTATTGATATTTTTATGTTTTTAATTTGACAAAAAATGGTTGACTTATTGTTAACTCAAAAGTTTTTTGAACTTTCTGAATCAGGATTTTTTTTTTTTTTAATTTAAAGCTATAATTTATTACAAAATTGTTAAAATAACAAAATCATTATTTTTTTACTAACCTATTTAGGTATTAAAAAAAATGTAATTTACCATATCCTACCTATTAAAAAAATTAGTCTAATATTCAAACCTGTTGAAATTTGAATATCACAGTACAATAAAATACAAATTCAAAGAGTTTAAATTATAATTATAACTAATATTATATATGTCGCATTCAAATAGTGAAGTCACTCATTTCATAAACTGTGTATCCAGATAGTGAATTTTAACGAAAATACATTATATGGACATTCATCTCATGGAATGGACAATACTTATATTGTGCACTTTGTGTAATTATTATAAAACCAGATATCATAATATTATAACCAAGGTTCGAAATGGACCGGAACGCAATTCCAGTTCACGACAAAATTTTTTAGCGTTCCGGTTCGTAAAAAAAATACGTTTACCGTTTCGTTTCAAACAAATTTTACTGTACCTATCATATTTTGGTAAAATTTAAACATTTTGCATAATTGTTCATTGTAAAATATTTAATAAACGTCAAACATGCATAAGTACATTTATTGCTTATCTATACAATAATCACCGTCCGCCGATAGTATAATTTAGCTTTATTTACACAATACGTATGTGAATTTTAAAAGTTAAAAATAAATCATTAGGTTGTTTTATTTGTAAAAATATAACAAATTTAGGATTATCTGTTGCTGACATAACTTTTTGCTTTTCCAAACCTTGTTCTATAATTTCGAATAGAAAGTCAAAAGAAACCTAAATGTTTAGTTTGAGAAAAAAAATATTTGAACATAAAAAATCTGACTCTCATCGTAAAGCATTAGAATTACATAAACAATAAAAAAAAAAAAAATAGAAAAAAGTTTCGAAATCAAATTATTGAAAACATTGAAATCAAAGTTCACTACTACTAACAAAGTTTTTAGAATTATTTATAAAATTGTAAAAACTCAAAAGCTTTTTGTTGATTTACCGAATTCAATAGATAATAGATTAAAAAATTTTAAATTGTATGAATTTAGGAAACATTTTACACTCTGATAAAACACTTGTGGATAGAGCACTTCACATAGCATCAGAGATGAAAAAAAATGATATGCCAAAATATAATTTTAACTAATACAGTATAAAATAGTAGATATAATTTATGTATTAAAAAAGGCTTAGTATTTCAGGAAGGGGAATTATAATTTTGGTGGGTTAAAGCCCCAAATTCTATGGTATGTTTCCAAAAAAAAAAAAGAGTTCCGGTTCAGAAAATTTTCCATTTCGAGCACTGATTATAACTATACTTTTCTATATTGTTCTATGAACAAAAATATAACAATAATTATAGTCATAATAAATTATATCATATTACATTACATTTTTATTTTATTTTTTATTAACCATACTCGTACGTATATTATTTTTTATAAAAAACAGTATTACCTATGAAGTATTATGAAATATTCATAATACTTCATAACTATATATATTTTTCTTCTTTATTATTTATTTTTACACGATAATTGATCATTAAATCGACTGTTACACATCATATTATTTTTAAAAAAAGTACACCTACTTGATTGGCAAGGAGTTTCTGCCTTATACGAACAAGATAAAAATCCTTGCCCCCTGAAATTTTTTTAATCATTTCTCGTACTGAAAATTCAACATTTTTATCAACTTAGTAGTAGGAAATTGAGTTGTTAATTTTTTCAAACATTCATTACTGAACCATCCTTTAATTAAATCATATTTTGTTCATATTGTGATCATACAAATTATGTTTATAAATATCTAAATTGAAAAAAAAATATATCTTAATATTATAATATTAATATGAATTTTGACAAAATCATCTTTAATAGTTCTGAATAATTAACTAATTTAATAATTATTATTTTTTTTTTGTGTTGTGTGCCCTTTTAAGATAATATTCAATTATGTTTGATGGTATTTAATTTTTTTATTATTAAAAAATTTAGTTATAACTCAAAACATTTTAAATATTTAGCTATATTTTGTCGAAAAATATTTTTTGGGAACCGTATTTCATATTACTACTATGTATACCATTTATAAAATAATAAATACACGTACAAACTGTAAGCCCAGTACCTATAGTACGAAACTATAACGGGTGACCGTTGTGCGCCAGGTGGCAAATTTCCGGCAATGCTTCTACAACTACATTCCCGTGTAAAATAATTTTAAAAGCACAAGAGTTGCTATAAAGACTAAACAATTAATACTTCTTTACGTAAAACTCATTATTTTTTTACTATCACATGCACTAACAATTAATAATATTAATATTTCAATTTTTTACGCAATTTTATATTTATGTATGTACACTTAAAAACTAAATAATTAGGTGATGAAACTTAAAACTATTATTATAATATTTACATAAAAAAATATTTATCCAAATTGAAATATTCTAGTACTCGTCGTCGTCTTCTTCTACACTTGAACTACATATTGAAATAGTCAATATAATTGGTTCCAATATCTCATCCCTCAGTTCCTCCTTAACGAAGTCCTCCTGAATTTTGACGCAATGTTCTCCACATTTAGCCCAATCGTCCGGAGTTTCTGCATCGATCTCTTTATGTACAAGTGTCTCGAAGTCTGCAATTTTGGATGTCGAATTTTTTTCGGCCACTCTGCCTTTAACTTGTGTCCAAATGAGATCTATTGGATTGTATTGACAGTAGTAAAGGGAAGCCTTACCACTTCATGACCCATTTGGAAAGTTATTTCATCCAGTGTATATTTTTTTCCTCTCGGCATCGAATGTTTTACTTTTTCCCGTAACTCGTCAAATTAATACCTGTGTTAGACACACTCACTAAATGTTATTTGTTGAACAACTTAGGAGTTTATAGATATCCGTCAACCGTCATCCGATAAGGAAACATTCATTTGATATTGCATGTGGAATTACCGAAATTAAATAAAAAGTTCCTGGTTACGTCACTGATATAAATATTATCCATTTCATGAAATGGATGTCCATATAATGTATTTTCGTCAAAATTCACGATATGGACGAATTTCACTATCTGGACATCTAGTTCATAAAATGAATGATTTCATTATGTGGATGCGACAGATACATTAGGGACGATGAACCTTTTTTACCAGTGTGTCAAATAAAATTTTGGTTGTATTTTGTTTTCCCTGCATGTCAACTAGATTGATAATTTTTTTTTTAACTTAAAAATTCCTACAGCCATGGTTTGAATGATAAAAAACAAGTTAAATATTACATTATCAAACAATTTAAATACGTTAGTTACTAAAAGTATAAGTAACACGTAAGTATGTAAAAAAAATTTGATTTATAAAAAATAAAAAATATTGAAGTGTTAAAATATAAAATTATTATACATGCCATTTTTAATGAGAAATTTGTTGTTGCATTTTATTGGCTTATGAATCAATCCTTGGACTGTAATTGGTTGATTTCAGTTGAACACATACTTCTCTTAAATTTCTTCCAAGACGATTCCTTACAGATGACTTAATTATAATTCACTATCATATGAAGTAGGTACAATATTTTTTTTTTACGGCATTAATTGCTATGATTACAATTTATTAATAATTATTTAATAATATTAATAACTTATTTTAAGATTTTAATATAAATATGACAAACCACCCAACAAATGTTTGTGTTATCTTAAATTGTATAACACTTTTTGTTGGTCTTTTTTTTTTACTGAAGTTGCTTCTGTTTTGCATATACTAGGTACTTACTGAAAATAATTCTATACATTTTAGTAATGTAATAAATTTACTTCAAATACAAACAATAACAGTTTAAATACTTTTCTTAAGAACAATTATCTTTTTATTTGTTACCTTAATGAATGCCCTGCCTTGAATATTGATAAAGTTCTTACTTTTTGCGTAATAAATGTCTTAAAAAAAATGTGATTTAATTACTAATAAAGTATATTTAAAATATCTACGCTTAATAACTGTCATAATTATGTTTGATATTTTTAAACTTATACATCATTTTTATTTGAAACATTGAACTTCTATAAAACATTTGTTTTAAAATATATATATTTATTAATTGATTTTTATCCAGTAGCAAAAGTTAGCTGTTTGTTTTTTTTTTTGTATGAGATTAAATTTTAAAGCATATTTTTAAGAGCTGTGTTGGTCATAAATTTCTGATAAGACAATACTAATAATCATCTATTTATACAATTGCAAAAATTATTTTGTTTATTGATTTATAATAGTATTTTTTGATTTATCTTACAAAATTGTGTTTTTAAGAATAATAAAATCTATGTTATTTGCAATATTCTTAAACAACTTGTTTAATAATTATATAAAAGTACAAACCGGGGGTATAATTGAAATTATACATCAACAAAAAATTTTAACTTATTTATTTTTAAATTTCTAGGGCACATTTCCTTTAATTTCTAAATGTAATTAAAATTTATTAGATGTAAAATACTAACATATTTTTTAAAATTTTTGTTTTTTTTTTTAGCTTATAAAATGTTAACTCCTAATTTTGAATTGGATCAAACTGAAAATTATCTAATCATTAAAATCAAAGCTAGATTTGCTAATGTAAATGAAACTGAAATCGATGTAAATGGTAATCAGATTACATTTTATTCATCTCCATATTATTTACGACTTCATCTACCTGGTGAAGTTGAAGAAACTGATACTTCTTCTGGATCTTATGATTGGGACTCGTATGTTTTTACTTTTAAATTAAACAAAGTAAATCCAGGTGAACATTTTCCAGATTTAAATCTCATAAACAAATTTCTAACGCCGAAAACAATTAATCACACAATTAAACCATCTATTGAAGTTCTTAATGAAAGTAGTTATTGCGGCAGCAGTGATGATGAAATTGAAAGCGATATAGATTGTGATTTTTTACAAGAACTACCTGTCCTTGAAGATAATACGATTTCCATGAAATATGGATTTGCAAATCAAACTCAAAACCCATTTAATAGTTTTAGTGACGAATTTTTTGAAATAATTGAAATTAAAAATCCTGATTGTTTAAATTTTGACGAAAGAAAATCATTACAAGAAACGAAGGAACTTGCTGATTTTTGTGATGACCATTACTTAGCAGATTTAATGATGGAACCGGATGAACTACAAAATATTTTAAGTTTTAAACCTTTTTGGCTTAACTCTACGTTCACCTTAAATGATTCACACCAAAATATTTTAAAATCATTCGGCAATAAAGAATATTTGTTAAGCAAAGATGATAAAAAATCGGCTTTACTATCGTTGGTTGATATAGTCTATGCATATTGTTACAGCGTACGTACGAATTTGGGTGAAGAAAACGCTGAATCGCCTTGGCTAATCAATAAACTGTCATCAACTCTTTCTTGGTTTCGTAATTTTGACACATTTGACGAGGTTGTCGTATCGTGCATAAGGCGGAGTTTATGTTACCCACTGTACAGGCGATGGGATTTAAGCATGTGTGTGCTCTTCGATGTACGTAAAATATTTGAAAACGGATGCATTTGTTTACTTACGTGTTTGTTGGATATATATAAACTGTTTAACTCAAGTGAACCCAGATACGTATTGAACCAGCTGTACATTAAAGACTATTGTATATGGATACAACAGATTAAGAGCACACATTTCGATACTATAACTAAACTATTTGACGACAACAAAATCGAAAAAGGCATTTTACAATTGGATTTAGAAGAACTAGAAATAGCTGCGTTGAGTGTAGACGAAGACATGGCATTTTTAGAACGTGCAGAAAACAGCACCAGTGACAGCATTGAATCTCAACTACAGCAGTTACAAATATCAAGTTCGAAAACTGAAAGCAGTCTAGATTCTGATGACGAAGAAGAATAATGTTAATTCGTATATGTTATTTACATATGTAACACATTTTTGTATATATTGAGAAGAAAATGTACACATACTTTAGAATTTGTATGTTATTGTGGAAATATTCATTTTATAACTCAATTTTACAACAAATTTTAAATTTACAATAGTATTTGTTTTTCATTACTTTTCATAACAGACTTACAAAATAATTACCTCATTATTGCTGAATCATTCAAAGAATTTTTAATGTCAGTTTGAAATCCTACTACCACCACAGAAAATATTCAATTTTTAATTTTATCTATTCTATGTAACAACAATACAACTTCCTTACCTTCGAAGTTTGAACAAATACCAATATTTATCCGTTTAAAGTTTTGTATTTATAGATATAAATGGTATTATAAACCTGCGATCTATCTACTATCTACAACTATGTGTATGTGTGTGTGTAAGTGTAGGCAAATAACCGAAATAAATAATATATTCATACTCTATAGCAGTGGCTCCCAATCTGGGGTATACGAGATGATCTCAAGGGATACACGAAAAAAATTGGAAAGCGACTGAAAAAAATGTAATTTGTTTTATTTAAAACGATTCATTTCCAAAACATGTAATATATGTTATTAAAAATGAAAACCTAATCATCAATTTATCTTATAAAAATGGAGTATAGAATATTACTAAATGTAAATAATGATAAATATAGAAATAAACTGAACGTAGCTCCAGATTTAAGATATCTTGCACCATTTGAATTTGATTTAAAAAAAAAAATTGTAATTCGAAATGAGAGCAAGGATCTCACTATATTTTTATAATACCATTTTTATATTCAAGTAAAATTGTTTTTTTTAATTTCAACATTTTTAGAACAATAAAATAATAAAAATTTAATTAAAATTAAAAACTATTAATGTCCGTAAATTAATATATAAATAAACAAATAGTTTATATATATAAATAAATAAATAAATGCTTAACCTGAAGCATTAATATATTTGTTAAGTACAACCGGTTTCGAATTTAAAATTCATCGTCAGGTCACAACTCACTTCAAAAATATAATAGTACTCCAAACTAAGCATTTATTTATTTATATATTATCTTTAGAGTAATTATTTGAAAAAAAGTTTAAAAGTTGTAATGAGGGGGAACAATATAGCAAAATATTAATCTTAGAGATACGGAAGAAAAAAAAGGTTGGAAACTGCTGCTCTAGATAGTGTCAACATTTATCCTGTTCAACAATTATGTTTCCAAGAAAAAAATTTAGAATTAAATTATTTGTAGTGCTGAAGACAATGAATACCTTAAACGGTGGCATAATTATGGACTGACATGAAATGTATAATGTACCTGTAAATTGTAAATTGTATAATGTACTTACACAATTATGAAGATAAATAATTGAGACTTAATTTTATCTCTAATATTCTAATATAAATTATTCTCTGTAGCTAATTGATAATTTTAACTGTATTTGCTTATTTTAATTCAATAACAAAAATCCTTATTAGAATTTAAGTACTTTTATAATATAATTATGTAAATTGACAAAGCTATTCAATATATATTATTTAGTCTATTCACTAAATGTTATATAATATTAAAGGTAATTCAATTACACAAAATAAAAATCAATATTGTTAATACCTCTTATTGAAATCCCTATACATTATATAATAATTTACGCGTACTAATGTTGACTGTGTAGTTTAAATAGTTTTAAACTATTGGACTTCCTCATTTACTACAATTAGAAATGGTATGCTGTAAAATTAATAACTATTATATTGAAACTGAATTATTAATATCAGACATTGATGTAGATATATATAATTTATTTAAGATAATACATTGAGCAAAATAATTATACATTGACGTATTTTGTCTACCTTATTAGTACACAAAAAGTTGTTTATAGATAATTGCATAAAATTATCACTTGACATAAAACCAAGTACCTATTTTGTTTCATTGAAGTTATATCATAAAATAAAACAATCAATAATTCAAATATAAATCTTAGATATAGGTCACAGAATGTGTTAGATTAAACATTTAATATAAATCAATAATCATAATTATTAGCGTTAACGTGGTATAATCGTAAAATATACTTTCCATACTACATTATATTTTATTTTGATTGAATACAAATAAATGATTTAATAATTTTTAAATAAAATACGATAACATTTCAAAATAAGTAATTGTATCATGTATTAATCGATCATTATTTTGACAATGACAGATAACAGTAAAAAAATCATATATTTTATTTTCATATGTTTTGCATTTAATCATTTGTTACAGCTGTTTCAGGTATTTTACTCTTAATGATCTAAATATTTGTGCATAGGTACATTATAATGTATAATAAAATTGCATAATGATATTCAGAATAAATTACTCGTTTTGCATCAATTTCCTAATAATTTTTTTTTTACTAATTAGAAAACATTCAACTAACTGTAATTAATTTACATGTAAGGTTTATTAAATAATACATGAAGTGTAACTAATAATAACACATTTTAATTCTTAAGAATATAATTTAAAACAAATTAAAATATAATTGTTTCAAAAAATTAAAAAAAATGTAGAAATTAGGTGTTTGGTAATTGTTTTGCATTGATCAAAAAAATTAAATTTGTATTATAATTTATAGTCATAGGTGTGTGCATGGGGATAGGCTGTTGGCAAGTGTACCCGGGACTACCAAAATGTTGTAAATGAGGCCTCAAAATTTAAGTCTAAGAGTAAGCCCTATTTACTTTTACTAATATAGCTCATATTATATGTAATTTATTCTTAAATATTTGATAAAAAATAATTAATAGGTCAGTATTTTATAATAGAAAAAATAAAATTAAACTTTCTAAATGTTCGTGCAAAAATGTATAATAATATATTAGTTACAATTGACTATAATAGTGCAAATCATAAATAATTTAAACTATCTAAAAAAAAATATATGAGATTCAAAGAATACATACTCAATGGGACTAATATATCACAATATTAAAAAGAAAATTAAAATTGTGTTTATTTAATTATTTATACATTACAATTTATTAAATATATCCAGTTGCGTAGTTACGGGGAGGGTGTAAGGGGTTTCCACCCCCCCACAGATTTTTTTTTAATGATATTTGATTATTATTTATTAATATTTACATATTATAGTAAAATATTTTGATTTTACTATGATTAGGTACATATTAAAAAATTAATAACAAAATAATTTTCATTAAATACGGAACAATATATATATATATAATACCATTTTAAATGTAATATTATTACATATGACCTCGTTTTATGATATACTAAGAACACTTAAAAAACTTACTCTTAATCCCCCCCCCCCCCCCCAGAAAAAAATTGTATCTACGCCACTGAATATATCTACACAATTTGTTGAGATAGGGCCCAAAAGTATTGTAGGGAACCCCTGAAATACAGATCTGCGCACGTCTATGATTTTAGTTCAAATTTGAAAGTAATGTCAAATTATTACATTTAGATAACTATAGTAAGTACTCAATTTACCTAGTAAATATTATAGCTTAGAAAGTTTTTCATACTATATAAATGTTATTTAAAATAATTTTTATATTTTATATTTAATATTTACTAAAGAGATAGGTACTAGGTAGATATAATTATTTAATTCAAGTACGAACGTCATGTGTAGATTATATTCAATTTCCTTACTGTTTATGTACATAAGAGAACACATTTTGAAAATGGTTTATTCCTCAATAACCAGTGTGTAATTAATTTGTTTGAAGCAAGCGCGCACGCAGGTTAAAATCCCACCCGGGGCAAGATTAAAATTCTAAGGGTCAAAACAACGTGTATCTAAAATTAGATGGGAACAAAATCAAATACAATATAAATCGGTACTCGGGATAATTTATAGTTTTAAGTGATATGCAATCATGTGTAAACATTGTGTACTAATAAATATGTTCAAGATTATACATTTTAGATTATCTAAAAATATAATAAATTTTACTAAAATTCATAAATGGATCTTAATAAAATTATGTTATAATTAATATGCGTGGTATTAAATTAACAATAGTTTTGAAACAAAAATTCTCAGTAGGGACAATGGCCCCTTTTGCACCCCTCTGCGGGCGCGCATGGTTTAAAGATAATTATTCAATAATATTATTTTTTTCCAGTACCTGCCTTGGTTGTGGTTTTTTTTTAGAATTAAATTAAATCCCACGCATATATAATTTTATTTAAAAACAAATATACATTTGAATTATTTCTTCTATAAATGCTTATATTGAAAATGGAGAGTTACATCTTGTACATAATAATTTAAAGAAAGGCACAGTCATACATATAATAATATTTTTAAAAGATAGGCACTGCAATTTATAGTGTTGAAAATAATATTTTTATTATATTTCCATGAATAGATTAATTTTGACGAGTTACCTATATTTTTAATATAATTTAATAGTAAATAAAATATTTAGGTTAAGCGAACAAATCATTTCAGGAACTCCTAGTACAAACAAAAATAAATATTTTAACTTTTTATCTTCCCAACTTCCAAATATACAATATTTATCTTTAATAATATAAATATAAATCAACAAGAAATCCACCTATAAAAGTATAAAACAGTGATATAATTTTACATTATAGATATATTTTCATTTTAATCTTGAATATACTTGTTACTTGTAACTTAGATGTAGAAAGTAAGTCAGGTATATATAGTATTATATTTATGATACATAAATAAACAGTTTATTGATTGTAAAACATTATGTCCATTTTTGGTTCGAAAATTAAAGACGCTGTGGCCGTAAGCCCATAAGGTTATGGAAATTCAAGGACATTGAAAATAATAAACGTTCATTTATCATAGATAGTTTTTTATAATATGTGTAGTATGAAAATATATTTGAGACGTGTAGTGATTTAATCGGTGATTAAATTGAGTACCAATAAACAAATAGACATTTAAATTCAGTATTTTCATATTTTTTTTCTGAATAAATACTAATTAAACATTTAAAACGGAATATTGACTGATAACTAGTCAAATTTATTTTTCAATATTGAACATGAAATTTTATCTGAATAAACATTTGGTAAAATATTCAATTTTTTATCATCTGCTGGTGTACAGTGTGTACTTAAATAACAATGATCATCACTAACATTTTTGTATCGCAAAACATTCCGCAAAAATCATCGATGATATACAACTTAAAACACGATGACGTGCGTAATCAAACCCAAGTATAATTTTATATATTGATACGTCTATGATTAAAAGCATGCATTGTATATTATGAACGTATATTTAAAAACGTATATGCAGTCAACTCGTCGCGGTCCAACCTAAAATTAAATTAATTGAACACGAATTGGTAATCATCGGCTTATAATTTATTACATTATACTCGCGTACACGTAATGTTTCAAGAAAATCGTTGTCGAACTCAAAGTTCAGCGCGTCGGAGGTCGCTGAAACGTATAATATATGTATTACTATAGATAGGAAAATATTTTATAGGTAACGCGACAGTGTATAAAAGTTTCTCCTCTTTTTTTTTTTACTTTTCCACTCTGAGTAATATTAATGATTAATAACAATGCATTCGTGGTACACGTAACACCAATGAAACGTAAGGCTAATAACGTAAGTTTTGCATAACTCGGTTATAGAAAAAAAAAACGGTCGTTTATTCGAATGCTATGTAAATATAAAAATAAAATAACCTCGCCTAATCCGTCTGTCTGTGATGATGACTAATGCATGTGTGTGTGTATGTATTCGATGTGTGTACGCCATTTAATGATGCACTGAGTCCCATGTATATAAGTACGGAGTGTACATAAAATACATAAACTGTCGCCGCGCACATCTTTATAATATAGTCTTATAATGTTGTCTATATATAATTTCTAGTCTTCAAGACTTGCCGTCCTATTATAAAAATGTTTAAATTATAATACAACTATTACCTGCTTTCTTTCTATTGTTTTGATGTATATTGTAAAATATAAGTATATAGACGTTGGTATACAGCACGCGTTTATCCAGTCCTGGATCCTATGCAATACCTATGATGTAATATAAAACACTGCAATACGACAATCGAATATTAATAATATTATTATGTTGATGTTAAAATAATTAATTATTGAATAACAGCTACACAAACAATGAACATATTAGGTGTATAGCTGTTCTATTTCAGTGCAATCTGATGCAGTGACCATAAGTTTAGTTTTTCAACTCGTTGATTCGTTTTTTTGACGTAGTTTTAACGGATGCATTTTCTCCTATTTTTTCATATAAAAAAAAATTGATATTATGTATTGATTATAACACACATAGATAATTAAATCTTTTTCTGGACATTTTTATCATTAATATTGTTAGGTATTAATGATATTTTGTTTTATTATTTATGGTAACTTCGTTAATTATTAATAACATTAACTAATTAATAAATTTTCGTGATATACGACTAAAAGTGTAAAATATCTAATATTATAATGAAATAGTATTTCTATTATATTGATTTATAAATACATTTTAAACTAGTGTATTTTTTCAAAATAGCATTTTACCTCATTTTGTACATAGTTATTTAACGTTCAAATGCTTTTACAATACCGAACGTCGTCCTTATTGCACTTATATTCTTTGTGCAGCTTGTAGTGCTAATATATTTGATCCTTACCTAATTAAAACAGTTGTAGAAACTAAGAAACAATTTAGAATCAAGATTATATAATTTAAATAGTTTTTATTGTTTTAAATTTTTGTAGAAATATGTCTAATAAATATAATTATATTTTAATAATTATAATAATTATATTAATATTGATTGATTACTTATTTTTGAAAAATAATTGAAAAAATTAAAAATACAAAAAGTTTAAATTACTTATCTTCACTTATATTTACTTATACTTATTTTATATTAAACTGACTGAAAGTTGATTGAAGCATGACCTGAGATGGTTAGCTATCCTAATTGGCTAAAGTAAGCGCGTGGGATGTGCGCCGCCATAAAAACGTTTGAAATTGAGAAAATTTGAACTCAGCATTTGGCTTGGTAAACTATTTCTAGCAGGCCCGTCCCTAGGGCACAAGAAAGTCATTGCTTTAAGATAACATACAATTTTAAAGAAATTTATGCAGCAAAATTACATAAATATCGACAACAGACGACAATAATTATTGTTATGCGTCTTTAATATTATCGTATTAGCTCCCTGTGACAGCAAATGATTACAGCATATTATAATTTCAATTTGTAATGTCTTTAATAAAGAACGGCAATACAGTTTTCCCTTAAGAGCGGAAAATATCTAACGACTGGCCTGATCGATAGTCGATTAAAATAGAAAATAATTATTTAATATTATGTTACATAACATAATGTAGACACGTAGAAATTAACTTGGTATTAAGTTGAAGTTCCAGATATCTATTTTTCCAATTCTCAGTTGATACATACTCTTTGTTTTGGCGATTAAATTGAATTAGGTACTATTATTTATCATAAGCACAATGGAATTTTATAATTAAACCTTTACCTGCTTTATCAATCTATGATAAATTTTCGTATTCATATAAAATATTTAAACAATTAACATAAATTAATCCGATAATAAAACTAAAAATAATGAAAATTGTAATAGGATAAGTAAATGAAAAATATAAATTCGAATATCTGGATTCTTGGATACCTGCTACAATGAAGCTTATACGACTGAATATCCGGATTTAAATTCTCGTTCCTGATGAACAAAATCCATTATATTGTTTTGACCTTTAGGTGGATTAATGAGAACCACCACCGTATCAAGATAGGTATTCAGAAATTATACTTGAATTATACCGTAAACCGGTAAAAAACGTTGTACACCTATCAGAATACATAGAACCAATAACAACATGAATTATAAAGTCTAATCTGAATTGACATTTCACTTCGTACCATGTCTAATATACTAATATTATAGTACTACTATAATAGAATATAATAATATACATAGGAAAACTAATATGTGCTTGTGGGCGTCAGACGAATGCCGTCATCACCGCCATGGGTCAGACGGGGATATTCAGTACTTTTAGTTTTATGGTACGATCGTAAAAACAAATGTAATAATTGTACAAAAATATAATTCCGGTCATCCAAAGTATACGACTTAATCGAATATATATTGTGCGTGGAAGCGTCTTGAATAATGTTACATACACTCCCCGGTAACGTATTATTATCAGACGCGTATACCAATATTTAGTGACTAGTGCTGTACACATGGCATTCGGTACTATTAATTATTATAATATCGTATAACTATAGGCGTTATTTTATATTTACCTACCACAATATTTGAACTAACGGATAATAATAATAATACTAAGACCGTTCGATTCCGAGACAGATTGTCGTACGTTATATTACCGTAGAACAGAGGTCGACAGGAAAATTATGTTGGGGTGTGGAACATCAAAATAATAGATATAAATAATAGATGTACAAGATACATTAAAAAAATTAATTTTATTAAATTATTTATTAGTTATTACTGAAGTATTTTAAACAATGTACAATACTATATAGAATTTAACGAGCAATTTAATGCGATTAATCGAAATATTTAATTTTTTTTTTATTAATTATGAAAATTAAAGTTAGATTAGTAAGATAAGTAAAATTAACGGTTCAGTTTGTGCCACCTAAGTCCGGATTTAGACCGTTGGTACAAGACATGGACGTTTTATTAAACTTGGTCTCATAATAATAACGATACTATGGTAACGGTAACATCCCACGCCTCGATTGGACCGGCGATACACAGTGAACAGCCGCGCGGCGTGAAATCATCGGACGACGGCCGTGCGCCGTCGGTAATGTTCGGCTGCGGTCCGGTTCGCGTGCACTCGACAACCCTCGTCCCGCCGACGCCCGAGCTCGATCAGTCGTTATCTTGGACCAGTCTCCTGTTGTTGCGTTATACATCGTTCATTCGTTCCGCAGTCGTCGTTGATCATCCGCTGTGTTCAGTCGATTAATATCGGCCCATCTAGTATATTATTATTTATCTATTTATTCGTAAAAATGGCAAACAATAGAGCCACCAAGTCTGGTTTCGCCGCTGAAGCGCAACGTAAAGTGAGTACTATAAATGATGTTACGCTTGTTTACTTATTTTTGCTTTTTATATCGCTGTGCCGGCTGCGCGATCGTTGCGTTTTTACTCCAATAGGCCGTGGTACTCGTGTATTAATTTTAATCGAAAAACATTTACATATTTTTCAAAAAAAGTTGTTATTATTATGAGCTTTACAAATCGTCCTGTCCGTTTACATTACTCGGCATAGATACTCCGTAAACTCGTCGTAGGTACAGCTGCACATTTACCGGCTGCCTGATCAGCGCACCTGTTCAATATCAACAAGTGCCATGCATAATTATACTATCGTAGTGTACACGATATAAACGCGTACTCCATTTATGATCATCACTATATTATTGTACGTACAACACCGTCTATTCAATTTGCGATTTTTGCACTAAGCTATTAGAACTCGGAATCGCACTGCATCTGTACTTGTGTTAATTTATCTATTATTTTATATCGAAGACGTAGAAAGCATTTAGGCTTGCATGATATAGATCCTTGGCCTCGATCGATAAATCAATTAAATTGCGTAACTAAGACTCCATGTACACTAGTACTGTAGTGAAAGAATAAAAACACTCAACGTGTTTTAACGATTTTTTTAACAATTTATTTCGTTTTTTCGACAACTCTTTCACGTTTCGGACCATTGGAATCGGAAAACACTATTGTGGCATCACTTCTACTACCTTTCTATGAATACAATACGCATTCATAGGTTACTTGCGACGTTATCAATAGTTGATGTAGCTACTGTACAGGAAATAGCGCCTTATATCTCGCCGGAACCCCACTGTTGCAGGTGGGATTGATCGTTATTTTAAATACGAATTATATTATTATAAATCGCAACGAAGGTTGATTGTCAAGTTTAACTTCAACACGTAACAAAAGAACGCGCAATGGTATGACGAATTTTTTGTTTTCCGACCGGTACTGAATTCCAAGGTTTTCCGAATCCGTTCGTATGAGCGGCGTCTATGTGTGTACAAACGTGTATACATGTATAAATATTTACATCCACGCGACCGCGCAGATCCTTTGATAGTAATAATAATGTTATGGCAAGAGGAGAGCAGGAGAGGTCACACGATACTTAGTCTCCTCTCACCCGCCGCCGTTGGAGGGTGTTCCACGAAACATGCCAAGTGTATTAAATATAGGTCAGGCGCACCCAGGATTCAAAGTCCACGCTTATGCCGGATAAATCCAATTAACTGGGTTTTTTTTTACAATATTTATGATTGTTTTTAATAATATTTAAAACATGTTTACACGTTTGGTCGGAAAAATTGCTCCATTTTATTACCTTCAGTTCGAGCAGCGAATACATTTTTTAGTTAACAAAAAAAAAAAAAATATATAAAAAAAATACCATTTATTTGTAAGGTACACGTATTCTAAGAATATTTACGTATTATAACACGCTGTATCGAATTACACATTGTTGTACTATGGGTATTATTGTTGTGTATTATTGTAGTATATTACTCGCGTAGCCGTACAAAATAAACAAATACTCAATAAATGCTTGATCCAATTAGCGAATTATTTCTCCCGCACACCAAAAATTCCCCAGACATCGTTTATGTGAGTTTGTGAAAACGGAATTTTTTTTTCTTTGTACTCATCGTTTTTCCAGTTCGAACATTATTTCCCCATTCGCAACCATTAACCATTAGCCATGTACCGACGCGTTACAACGAAATGAAATATTTGTAAAAAACCGCATTATATGCATACTCGTAAAATACAGTTTTCAAGAGCGTACGTGATTTCTAAGTATCGTTGTAATTACACGCCCAATTGTTACTACGGTGAAATAAACATTCGACGGGACATCGGAATGCTTTTGCTGTCGATAAGAGCTTACAACGACCCTGTACACGCACAGTGCAATATTGATGTATATTCCTCTATACGCCTATTTTATGTATCTTAAGCACGAAACACACCAGGTTGGTTTCCAGCTGCTGCTAATCAGTGGCTAGCAATAGCAACGATGGGCAACATGGTCACACTATCGGCTGCTACTCGCCACTTTTTCCTAGAAAATTTTTTTTAACCAAATCTAGCATATTGGCGGCAATATCTACCGTTTATATATTCTCTAAAAGTTTATATTATGATACCACTCCCACATTCCTATTTAAATAATCTTTGGACTTAAGACTTAGTCCCACAAACAAGAATAATTTTTAATTAAATTTAAAAAGGAAATAATTTCTTTTCCATTCCACATTAAATCATTAACTGTAACAAATGATTACGAATAATAAAATTTTAAAAATAACGAAATACAGCATGGTAGATTCGGAAGTACTCTCACTGCTAATAGTAACAATAATGATCCGGCTGGCGAAAGCGGTCACCTGATCTATTAAACACCGCTTTCTGCTACCAAAAGTTTAACTTGTTCAACTTTGTTAGCCGCTGACAAATGCAATGCGAACCTAAATTTTTTCGATAACACAAAGTTGATTGCTGGTTAACAGTTATGGCTACTAAATTTGCGGTTGACAACCAACCCGTGTTTAATATTCGAATGGAATATTTTAGGGGGACACGTCGAGTTTTTCACATGTTAACTATACCGTTGAGTCAAGTTCTAATTACAATTTAAACATACTTAGTATAATGTGCAATGCAAATACAAAATTGACTGTACAATATTTGCAAACTTACACTTGAAAATTCGTAATTCTTTGTGAGGCAAAAAAGATTGCCACCTAAGATATTTACTATCTTAATCCATAATTCAACTAAATTTATGATTATTATACTGTACCATATTAATTGTTATTATCTCGTAGTTTCAAATGGTAAATAAAGTATTCTGTAAAACAATTTCAATTATGAAACCCTTTAGAAGTATAGATATGAGGAGCAGCAACTTGGTATTTTTGCCCCCCTGGTACATATACTCATGTGTATATACTTAATACATACTACTGTCCTGTATTTGTATTTCATCTTAATGATAGCTATTATTATTTTATCTGATAATATTCACGTCTTTTTTACGTCATATTGCATTTCTGGTATTTACAAATGAAAACCCGGCTAAAAATTACGTAATTTTCTTTTTGTGTTCGCGATGATACACACATTTACGAGTGTATAATAATAATGTATTCATACACCGCCGCATAATTTTCATCATCGGTTAAATTATAATTTGATTTAACATAATGTACAATATTGTAAAATAATCCCTCGAATGTAAAAATAAAAATTCTTAAAACCAATGGTCCTAGTCACCGAGACAGTTATTATCATTGATAAAAGAAAAAATATATAAAATCCATAAGACAGTCGTCCATAATATGTTTATAATATGTGTACAAACATAATGCATTCTAGATAACTATTATACACACTTGCATACCTCGTTGTTGATAAATAATATCAGTTATTCCGTATTTTAGTTATAACTCGCTGCACCTCACCGACCTGTACCTACACTACACACACCACAATAATACGTATAACGTATGTCCATTATACACTACCGAACCGAACCGGTTTTCCGTTCTGACACATGGCGGACAATATACACGCTAGTCCTTTTCAAACGGTTAGAACTCCTCGACATACCAAAGTTAAAAAGTCATTGCGTAGGCGTAATCTACATATTATATCTGCCCGTTCGTCCGTCCCGGCCGTAGTATAATATGTAGGTATCGTCACGGCTGTGATGCAGAGGTATATATACTTGTAAACCTAATTAGTTCATAGGAATGGAACGAAGAAATAATAATAATATAATTACACCGAGTTCGTATACAGATTTTTGCCTAGGTTAATCGAGATTGAACATAAATATTGCAAATTTCAATCATGTAGGCCGCTAACATAACCTTTCGAAAATTCTAAACGGTGTTATTGGAAGTACATCACAAATTGATATACGTTCGTGATAATATCCGTTATACATATAAATATATATTAATAGCACAGCATTGATCGTGAGAACATTTCTTGTTGTATTTCACTGTCGTAAAAGTGGTTTTTTTTTTTAATCTGGTCGTTCTTATTAAAAATTAATGTTTTAATCACAATTACAATGGAGATTTATAATTTTCGTATAATTATTTTGTTTTAATGGTTACAAAGTAAAATCTCTCACAAATACCTACCTATTTTCTTATATTTATTGTTATATAGAGTTCACAATTATTATCATATATTAAATTCTGTTAAAGCATATAATTTTGAACTGTACATTTATTAATAAATATATATCTATAAAAATATTACTGCAGTTGATCCAAATTTATTAGTTGAGCAATTCGCTTGTCTATCATTTTTGTATTACATGATTTATTTTATCTATGTACCGTCTGTTACTTTTAATATAATGTTGTACTAACACTACTAACCTAATTTTTTATTACATTTTAATATATTCACTCTTAAGAGTTATGGTAATTTTAAGTATTTGAAAACGTTTATACCATATGGTGACACAAATAAGTCTTGCAATAAAAATTATGTCTATAAACTACAAACTCATATGATCCATATAGTTATTTTACAATACCTTATTTAGCCTAATAATATTAATTTATAGTAATAACCAATTATAAGTGATGAAGGGGTTTTTTTGGCGAAATCCTTGATTCTGGTTTGGTATAACAGATGGCCTCCTGTATTAATCGATGATTCATCATTGTGTTTTATCTATATATGGCCGTGTCGCTTTATCAAATACTATACCGTATATGGCCAATGTGGGTCGATCAATTTTTACCCGTATGAACATACATCTTGTTATAGCGTATTGTTTGTCTACAGATCAATGGGTTGAAATTTTTCCAAAAAAAAACTATCTACACCTTAAAAATTGCAACTTTTTATATTCTTAATACTTACTCTGCCTGTATGATAATTCATTATTATTTTCTTATTTTCTATTAAAAATGACTACGTATAAATTAATTTGTAATAATTCAAGAAATTTACGTTAAAAATTTGCATTTCTATATTAGATTTATATGATTAATAAGTAATCATTACCTTTTAAATTTCCCTTCAAGAATTTATTCACTTTATATATGTTATTGAATACTGTACTTAGAGGACTGATTGAATACTAATTTATAATATAAAAGTATTTATAAAATTAAATTTAATTGTATGCTTCTTAAGTTTCTTAGTATGTACTTTAAAATGGTTATTAAATGTTGAAATTAAAAAAAAATCATCCTGTTCCGTATAGGAGTGTTAAAAACTATTAAAATCAATGTTGTCACTATTTATTAACAAAACAAATAGATGCTTACGAGTATAAAAGAAATAAATTATAAATGCCTCATTATCATCATGAAGCTTAAATAAACAACATTTTTAAAAAAAAAAAAATTAATTGTTTGATGAATTAGATTATTTTTATAAATTATTTTCAATAAGTCGCTGATTTGTTTTAGTATAACCGTATTAATCATGCAATAATATTGAGAAAGAAAAAAGAATTATTAAATATTTCATAGTGTATAATGGAAAATACTATAAACTATACTGTTCACATGTTTTGTAGTATATTTCAAATTTTCATTGTTGTATTGTGTAAGTACTCATGATTCCGCATATAAATTTCCTAGATATACGTGCCTGCTTCTTGATGACTAAAAATTAAAAAAAATAAGCAGTAGGAACGAGTTTTTGTTGGCGAATACTTAACGATGACATCAGCTAATAATTATTCCACGTTCGGCACATTCTCTAGATATTTATTAAGCACTTCAATATAAAGTATTCTTTATTGATTGGAGTAAAAAACTGTTATGATAATAACTTTATATGATTACACAGAAACATTCAAAAACATTTAAAGTGATAAACTGCCTTTAATTTATTAAAATTTTAAATAATGAATTATTTAGTAATCTTTAATTTAATTGTTCATGTATTACAATCGAAAAAAAACAAAATAATTTCAAAATGATTTATTATATATTGTATTTGATTAAGCTTATTAAATTACAATATGTTTAATTTGAATTGAAAACTTGATATCGTCTTAATTTTTTTGATGCTTTTATCTAATATTTATCATTTCTAGGAAATTCTTATATAAATGTAAAAAACTAATACTTAACATAAAAAAAAAAAAAAAAAAATTAAAACCTTTGCATAATAATAAAATTGTTAATATTTCAATAATTTAGTGTTTGTTTTCATAATCGATTAATTAAAATTATTTGCTTACAGCAAGGAAAATTAATGACCATGCAATCAGTTTAATGATAAATAATAATAAATTGTGTAATGTTAGCTAATTAAATTAGTTTTATGAATTATACCAAACTTATCATTTATCGAAAATTCGTAACTATTAACTACTATGTTAAATTATTATTTTATTTGTTTTTTGAAATATAAATTCATTTTACTCCGTTATTCGTCAATGTATAATAGATAAAAATACATTTAGGGTTCATTTTAATAGAATATTTTACTCTTATTTTACGTATTGGTGAATATAAAAATAAAACGTATACTATTATAAATCATAGTTAAGTATGAGAACAATGGGAAATATTATAAAATTTAAAATTTTTCAGGTATCTTATTTAATGTTTTGAAATAACTCTTAAAACACTTATGTTGTAGATTAACAGCAAATACAGTGAAGAGCTAGCACAAGAATGTTTAGAATGGGTGAGCAGCGTTACTGGTTTACAATTGAACACATCTGGCGACCCGGACAACTTCTTCGAAGTCCTTAAGGACGGACAAGTATTGTGCCAGTGAGTCATGTTTGATCTATCAGATGTAATAAATGAAACATTACTTTCAAACATAACATACGTATTACGTCCTTGAAATTTTCATAAATATCACTTTCATATAATTTTACTTTTATAATAATATAAATAAGTTTACTTTGAATCCCATGTACTTAATGTAATAATCAATAAATAATAATATTTAATTTAATTAATATTTTCTAAATATTTAACATAGTTTTAGTTTTATCACGATTGTTTTCATTATTGTTGGTATACATTTAGTGATTATATTTTATCTAATGTTATACCATATGGTAGTACCATTAATAAAAAAGATATTGTATTTTATTTAAAACTATTACTGTATAACATTTTATTACAAAACATATTTTCGGTTTAGATTGGTAAACACTCTCATTCCGGGATCCGTGAAAAAAGTGAACACTAGCACAATGGCTTTTAAGTGTATGGAAAACATCAATAACTTTTTAGCTGTAGCCATAAATATAGGCGTACCATCCCAAGAAACATTCCAATCTGTTGATTTGTGGGAACGTCAAAACTTAAACTCTGTGGTTATATGTTTACAGTCGTTGGGAAGAAAGGTTAAAATTATATTTAAAATATATAAACACTTACTTATTATGATGATTATAAAAAATAACGAATCAATATTTGTATATAATATAGGCTGGCCAATTTGGTGCTCCGAGTATTGGTCCAAAAGAAGCAGAAAAGAACATCCGTAACTTCAGCGAAGACAAACTCAAAGCTGGTCAAACCATCATCAGTCTGCAATATGGATCCAACAAGGGTGCAAACCAAAGTGGTCTCAACTTTGGAAACACAAGACATATGTAAAGACTTATTTTATCTTCCATACGTTCTATACCCAAATTTTTACACAAAACTGATCCAAAACAATTTGCCAACATTCTCGGATTTTATACAAAACCCTTATATTCCAATGTAATATTAAACTTCCTACGATACAACCATTCCAAAAAACCAGTATTATTTTACGTGTATTTATATATACTTTTACTTTTGTATTTTATACATGTATACATTTAATTTTGGGTATAAATACTCTTATATTATTAATACGCATGTCATGGTTTTGAAAATAAAATAACAATTAAGAGGATTTCCTTTTTATAAAAATATTTTTTTTGAAGAGTTTGGCGTCTTTTAGAAATATTATTAAATTATATATAAATTAACACGTTCATTATTTTTATTTTTGGTATATAGTTAAAATATTTATTTTGTTTAATATCTATCCATGTAAGTTTTATGAATTTGTTCGGACATTTTTAATTTTAGAATGGCCTTTATAATAAGTTATTGAATTAACATTGAATAAAAATACCTATTTATTTAAATCATTATGTGTAAAAATGTCGTTATGTTTTAACAACTTTTGAAAATACTTTACTATAATTATGTGAATGGTTGAACAATTTTACTTCAATCTAGACATGATGAACTTAATGTTTATTGTCATATATATATTATCTGATTGACAAATGTGAGATTCAACTGACAATATTATGTTCATGTTTCATCCATATAGCATTGATTAACTATCAATAACTAAATAATAATAAACTAGTTTAGCAAAAACAAAACATCTAACCCCCAGATATTTATTCTTTTTAAATAACTGTTTGTAAAACTGACAATTATATCTCTTAATAGTCCTAAAAGGTCTGTGCCGCTTTAAAAGACTTTAAGTAGTTATCAGATATGAACAATGCTGTATTTAAGACCTTGCCACCCAAATGCAACAACATTATGTCTCTTCCCTAAAGTGCAAAACTGAAAACAAATGTCTTCAACTATTCATTAAAAAGCCGCTAGCAATTCATTTTCCCCATTTCAGTACACCATAACACAATATTTGTAACTATTATAAAATCCAAAATAATTATCAAATTTAATTACCTAAATAAAGTTATAGAAAATTGTCTTTTATAAGACTGGTGATATCCTTCGGTCTGAATGTCCCATCCCCATACAAATTAAAATTAAACCAATACCAAATTGCATTGGTTGCAAAAAAAAATTTTTAACCCACGGCCTATGAGGGAGGATCTATCTCCTATATCCCCCTCGTAGATCCGCCACTGATCCTTTGTTAAAAGACAAGAGGACTAAATCAAGACACACAAGAATATCAAATTTATTATTCCAAATAACCACCCCCGAAAAAAAGAACAAAAACTCTTCATAAAAATTACTTTATACCCCCTTTAACAATAACACCATAATAAACCAATTTAAAATAATAATGATCCTTAATTCAATGGAACATAAATAGCTTTATAAAAAATAAAAATGACCTGCAAATAAATACAACCCCATAGCAACAGGCTTTATTGTAAGATGCAGTAGGACACTAATTGTGCATTAGGAATAATATAATGTACTGTAGATTTAACGAACATGTGCACTTGAAATGTACAACAAAATTTACTTTACCAAAGGTATTTAAAATTAGGCATGTGTTATTTTATTACGTGAAATCATCGGTTAGTAGTACGAAATCGACTGACGACTACACGCATCATCATCGGCGTTGATCATGTTAAAAAGTTATCGGCAGTAGACGCATCCAGCTTTGAATATTTTTCTTTACTACTTAATGTGATTGGGTACTTAGAAAATAGAAATAATGTAATATCGCATTATCACCAATCGTTGTCGATTATCTCCAACCTTACATTTTATTTCTTGAAACTACATATTCATACATACATACAGGATCATCTTTACCATTAGGTAAGTATGCAACTGAGAACGGCCTCCTTTATTTGGGGACCTCGGATTAAAATGAACTTTTTTTTTTAGAATACAACTTGCATCGTATAAAATAAATATAAGCAAGATATATTGTTAAAAAAAAAAAAAAAAAAATCAGCATAAAATACCACATTTTTTATTTTGTCCTTAGACTTCAAAATGTCTTAATCAGGCCCTACATTATGCTTTAATTTTTTCATTTATATGACGTAAGACAACAAGTGAACAAGAAGTCGATTGTTTTGCATCATTCACGGGCTTGTCATTGTTGTCAAGGTAAAACTTTTAATTAATATTAATATGTAGTTTTTTTATATGTTATATAATTGCTTTTTTTACTTAGTGACGGCTCGTGTACAAATGACTATACGTGAATGGTGCGATTACAGTGACTATTTTTCGGAGTGCACAATAAACATAATTGTTAATTTGAGTTTATAAAATAATAGAAGAAATGATGAACGCAAAATATACCTATATAGTCATGCCATAAGTTCTGTCCCTACTTATCAGTTGTTCTATAAATATTTTACGATAGCACTAATGACTTTATTTATGAGTATAATTTTCAATAAGTGTCATATCTACTATTTCTGGTTAGTACGATAGTTCATGTCACGTATTAGACATGGAATAGGGTATTAAAGAAAATCGTATTGCTGTCGTTGCGTTATTTAAGTGTAATAAAACACCAATAGAGATTTTTAACTTATTAAAACCGTTAAAAATAACGAAAAAATTTGTTTATCGGACCATTAAACGGTTTAACGAGTTGAACACTATAGATGACAAGCCAAGAAGTGGACGTCTACGTGAAACTAGAACAACTGCAGCAGTCAAAGTTATCGCACAGAAGATTCGCAGAAATCCACTCCGTAAACAAAAAATCATGGCTAGAGAAATGAAAATTCCACCAAGAACTATGTCACGCATAATTAAAGAAGACCTGGGCCTTGGAGTTTATCGAAGAAGCACCGGCCAGCGGTTAACAGACGCTATACGTAAAATTAAAGCGATAAGAGCGAAGAAGTTACTTCAACAGTACGCGAAAAATGGTCACAGACAGATACTGTTAACAGATGAAAAAATTTTTACCATAGAAGAAAAATTTAACCGTCAAAATTATAGAGTTTATGCTCACAGCTCTCGGGAAACTGCTAAAAAAATTCATAGGGTAGAAAGAGGACATCATCCAGCCTCAGTGATGGTTTGGTGGGGAGTGTCATATGAGGGCGTTACTCAACTGCATTTCTGTGAGCAGGGAGTCAAAACACGCGTGTTTAACTACCAAAGTGATATTTTGGAAAAAATAGTGAAGCCCTTTAAGTGATACCTTGTTTGTTGGAAAGAACTGGACTTTTCAGCAGGATTCAACGCCTGCACATAAAGCAAAAACGACACAACGTTGGTTGGAGGTTATTTTTTCTGGATTTATTGCCGCTCAAGATTGGCCCTCAGGAAGTCCAGACCTCAATCCTTTGGATTATAGGCTGTGGAGTATTTTAGAAGAGAAGGCCTGTTCTAAGCCCCATAGAAATATCGAGTCCTTAATGCCGATTTGATGAAATCAGCTGCCTCAATACCGTTGGAAGTGGTGCGTGCTGTGATAGACGAGTGGCCAAATCGTTTGAAGAAATGTATTAATGCAAATGGTGGACATTTTAAATAGTATTTAGTTTTTTTTAGTTACTAAGTTGATAAAAAATAAATAACATGAGATTTTTATATTTGTTTTATTTTATTTATAAAATATACACATTTGTATGAGGGACAGAACTTATGGCACGACTAGGTAGTTCAGCGGCGTAGATACAATTTTTTTCTGGGGGGGGGGTTTAAAATATATTTATGATCACATTTACAAGTTATTAGTTAAACTAAACGTTATTTTTATTTTTATTTTTTATTTTTATTTTTATTATAATAGGAAATTCATAAAATAAAATCCACCCGTCGTTTGTTTGTAGATAATTCGTCCAACACTTCCTTTGCATCCACTGATATTGAACGATGAATGGACAGCATTGCCAATCCATTTAATCTTTTCTAAAAATTTAAAATATCATTCATATTTTTGTTTAATTAAATATACAGTTCCTATAATATAATTTATTATATAAATACCTCTGACATTGTATTCCTTAGGTACGTTTTAATTCTCTGCAATGACGAAAAAGACCTTTCGGATGAAGCTGTTGAAACAGATAGTGTTGCTAATATTTGTAGTAATTTGTATATATTTGGATACATGTCATTGCAGATAATTAAAGCATCCATAGCATTTGTAGATTGTTTATCTAATGGAAGTATTTTACGTTGCCAAAGTTTTAACTCAGATATCAAAATATCTTTATTGTTATCTGCCAAATCATGATTATAAAAATCTATCAAACTAATAAATTCATCTTTTTCAAGTGTTGACATTTCTGTCGTTTTTAGAAATAAGTTTTGAAATCCTTTTAATATTTTCTGATGTTCAATAAATCTTGATTCAATTTCGTTAATAAACAAGTCTAAATAGGGTATGAATATTGTTATTTTAAAATATTCTTCAGGTGTATTCACTGAATAGTTATCTCTGTTTTTTTGTTTACATGCAATTCGAGGTAATGTTATTGAAAAACACAACTCCTGAGCTAGAGCAGATGCTTTTGTGTAGATATCATGAAAATATTCATCAACGTTACATCGAATTGTTTTTAATTCAGACAGTGTCGCATTAGCTAAAACCATAGCTTCTCTTAAATCAATAGCAACGCTTTGGAATTGTTTAGACAGTGGCAATCCAATGGCAAATATTTTAGATAAAACCAAAAGTGATATGATAAACTCTCCTTGTAAAATTGAATTTTTTAAATTATTTGCTTGACTTGAGGTATCACCATCGGACCAACTAATAATTGTGTCTAAGGAATCAATGACACATTCTAAAAGTTCGATAAAACCATGAACTGAATGAAAACGTTCGATCCATCTTATAGCACAGTTGCGTTTTAATGTTTTTGCATTAATTGTTCCATTAAAATCTTCGATTGCTTGTGAAAGTATATTTTTTCGTTTGGGGTATACAAAGAAATCACATGTTTTTCCAATCGTACCCAAGCAGTTTCTAATTGGTTGTATTGTACAGGATTTAGATACTGCTAAGTTTAAGGTGTGTGCTGTACAGTGTACATGAGTTGCCATCGGATATAATTGAGAAATATGTGATCTAACACCATTAAATTGTCCAGACATAGCTGCAGCCCCATCGTACCCCTGTCCACGTAAATACTTAAGTTCTATCCCGAACGCCTTCAAATTTTCAATAATTACGGTTGCTAAGCCTCTGCCAGTTAAATCGTTTGTGGGAACAAACTGCAAAAAATCTTTTCTGACAACTAATTCATCTACATCAACATATTTAGCACATAAAGACACTTGCTCTATACCAGATACATCGGCAGTTTCATCAACGAGGACAGTGAAACATTTTGCTTTATTTATTTTAGCTACAATTTTATTAAGTATTACCGTGTTGCAACAATCAATAATAGCATTTTGGCTAGTAGGACTAATATATTTATTTCGTTCACCTGGACCTTCAAAAAATGTTTTGAACTTTAGATCACCACGAGCTCTATACCGCAATAGTTCCCTAAAATTTCCTTCATTTGAAGTTTGTATTGTATCTACATTAATTTTACCAAAATCTCAATGTCCTCGTATTGCAAGCTCTTGACGACCACAAAAAATAATAACTTCAATTATAGGTAAAATATTTATTCTGTTTTCATTTACTTGTTTACTACGTGCTGTATCTAATTGATTTTCAATGGATATGCTTGGATTATTCCTCGTTTTTGAAAAATTATCGGTATCTATTACACTTTTAATATGATAATTTAGTTTATCATGTTTAGTAAATGTTTCTATAGCGTGTTTCCAATTATCAAATTTATTTATAACCAAAGCACCAAGTTTCTGGCCATTTATTCCACCTTCAGATTTGGAAAAAGCAACACAAAGTTTACAAAATGCACCGTCTTCTTTTTCAGAGTATGCTAACCATCGCCATCTTAATAACCAATTAAATTGAAATTTGCTCGTTTGCCCTTTTTTATTTTTATCGAAGTTTTTATGTATGGGAAACTTAAACGTTATATCTGGTGTCCATATATTATTTATAACTGTATGAATTTCACTATGTGATAACACACGGTTAACAAAATATATTATGTCATTAATTCTTATATCAACTGAAGTAAAAGATGAAGAAGGTATACAGGTTTCAGGAGTCTTAATATTTAGATCATTTTTATGTGCTAAAGAATTTTCTATGGTAGAATCTTTAGGTTTCGATTTCTAAAATACAAAATTAATATTTTGATCAATTGTTTGTCTTCGTTAAGTAATATTATAAAATTTAAAAATATACAAATATACTTTAATAGAAGCTAGTATTATGTACTATAAAATAAACATTAAATACTAGCCAGTAACATCAATAAAAATAAATAATAAATACTAAAACTGTTAAATACGCAACAATTGAATTATTATTTTATTATAATAAATAAAATAATAATGTTTTCAAAGCTTAAGCTATGCGTAATTTATTATATTAAGGTATTAAAATATTAACATTGTATAAAATAATGCAATATTGTTAATATGCTTACCTTAATAACAAATTGATCCATAGTTGATACGCGTACTAATGTTTCAAACTCTAACAATCAAATGAAATATTATGTCGGTCGACAGATCATAATATTATCGACCGGCGTCGGCGTGATGAACGTCGGAGGCCGTTATCGCTGTTTTCGTCGATTTTATAATTGGTTTTCTTAAAATAGAAGTGTAAACACTCGGATAATTTCTACAACCAGGGATATTATTAATAATTATTATAAATAGTAATAATAATATACGTATGTTAATTTGTACTAGTATTATTTAGTATAACTATTATTTAAAATTATAACCAATATAAACATTTTGTTTTGATGATGGGGGGGGGGGGGGAACCCCCTTCCCCCCCCCCCCCGTAACTACGCCACTGAGGTAGTTTATACTTTATAGGTTATTGTGTTATGACAAATTAGGTACATAGTTTTATTTTTAAGGGTGCACATTTGAGATTTCGGTGGGCAAAAAGTGTGTTGTAGGGCACATATTTTAATGCAAAAATTGATATCGAATTCATCTACTTGTAAATATTATTAGAAAATTGTATGTATATTGAAATTCACTTGCCTTCGTGTTATACTTGTTTATGTTAATCCGTTGCGGTCGTTGGTAGTTTGGTGCATAATATGTAAGCGTGACGCTCACATAAATAAAATTTTTTGCACGAGTCCAATGGCGTCATTTAAGTTCATAATATAAAGGGACTAAATGTGTTGACCAGCCTAAATAGGTAACTTAAAAAAAAATTTGTTGCTGTGCTCGCAATCAAATTTTTACTTACATTTTCATTAAATTACTATTTCTGTCTTACATATTTTATAATTTGGATATTATTTTCTTTAATCTTTATCTACTCGAAGTCTCGAATCGTCACTAGTTTCTTTTGAACAATTATTTTTTACAAATTAAAATGTTTTATTTAGGTATTTATATTTTATAGTATAAATTTATATAAATTATATCTATAATTATACCTAATATAAACTTTTACTAATTATTGTAATTATTACTGTAAAAGGCGATTTTCCCGTTCATGAAATATCAATAAAAATAAATAAATGATAAACATGACGTCAAATTGTTTGAATAGTAGGATAGTGAAACCGATGTTGGCTAATTTCACGTCCTTGGATTCAGTATCTGATTCATCAGAATCAATAAAATGAGCGTGGATAGTGTGGAGTGAAGCCCCCTTGTAACATATATTTTATTTGTGCAGTTGGAAAAAAAATTCTTACAATGAAGTCTGCATAACAATATGCCTACAGGAAACTAACCTAATAGATACATAGTATACACACTCCTTAGTTTAAAAATTTTAATTCTTTTTTTTATAACCGAAAACAATATGCAAGAGTAAGCGGAGGAATAGCCATACTCATTAGCACCAATTACCTGTGTAAAAAAAATTCCTATACAATCTAACTTAAAAGCTATTGCTATTTCAATCAAAATTAATACCGAAATCACTATATGCAATATTTATTTGTCAAACTAAACCAACTTTAATCATACAGATATAAATAAAATAATTAATCAACTATCTAAATCCTATATTATAACTGGAGACTTTAACAGTCACAACCCATATTGGGGCTCAGATAAAACAGACCATAGAAGAAAATCAAAAGAAAAAATTCTCAAAGACGACAACACCATATTACAGTGGCGTATACATAACTTTTGTATGAGAGGGGATCAGTTACAAAAAAATTATTATGGAAGAAAAATTCCTAAAAAACCTACTTGCACATTTCAATAATAAATAATAAAAGACATGTTTATATATATATATATATATATATATATATATATTGAATGTGTCAAAATAATAATTTACAATAAATCTTTGCAATATTTTTTTGTTTCCTTATAATTTTCTTACATTAAGAACACTATTTCATAGACTTTTTTGGATATAACTTCTTAACTTTTACGAGTATTTCAAACGGAGTGATTGGTTTAGTTAGTTGTGGTGTTGGTAACGAAGCATACAGAATGAATGAACTGAGTTTGCATGGTCATTATTTTGCAAGCTGGAGGGATGAGATTTCGGATAACTGATTTCCTAAGCTATTTGATTTTTCGATTTCAGATGTCGCTGGTTCCGTGTTTGGATATAGTTTGTACTAGTAGAGCGATAGTGTCACATTGATTTATTAATTCCTTGGCGATACGTAAGATTGAGCCAACAGATGGAGTTTGGAATTCTAGATGAGATTCAAATTAAGAAAATTTGTGTTTGGACAGTTCAGTTTTGAGAGAATTTAAACACAATTTTGACAATTTAGTACCTTGAATTTAATTCAGGCTCTTATTATATTTATAATAGAAAAAGTAAAAATACATTTTCTAAATTTTAGTGCAAAAACTTACAGGTTACAAGGTACAATTGAAACTACAAAAATACAAATCATCAATTGGAGCTGTCCGAGAAAAATATACAAGATTCAAGGAGAACTTAATACACCAGGACTAATATACCACAATATTAAATAAAACAATTAATGTTCTGTTTATTTAATTATTTACACGTTATAATTTATTAAATACACCTACCTACACGTTTTGTGAGATAAAGCACAAAAGTAATGTAGACACTTCCTAAAATACAGATCTGCGCACGTCTATGAATACGAGTACCTACAACCTGAACCTTTTATTTTATTTATTTATTTATTGAAATAAATTTATAATATTGAACATATATTATTGTTATTTTTATTGTTATTCACTAATACTATTGTTATTTTCGTCTATGTAATCGCTTTGCTATGATGTGCGAACAAAGGCAAATTAAAAAAAAAAAGACATAAAACATGAATATTACACGTGTTGATGTAGTATAGGAATTTTAATTTGATAAATATTCAATTCTAAAAACATAATAATATTTTTTTAAAGTTTCAAATTTTTGGAAAATAATGTTTAACATAAAACACTGTATATCTTGCTAACTTTAACAAAATATAAAATAGAAGTAATTGTTTTAATTTCATAACTGACACCTGTCATCTAGCATATTGTGTTTGTTAAAATCCGAGAATCATTGACACATAGTACTACGAAAATGTAAACATGTCCATTTTCAAATCGGAAAAAACTCCGATCAAATGGACATTTGGAACTAAAGGTATTTGAATAAAAACATTTAAAAACTTGCACTGTAATTTTTTATAGTTATAAAACGTATTATTTTTCTTAATAGTAAATCATCATTATTTATTATGTTTAACCAAAAAATCAACGTGGGATTATGAATTGTAACGGAGTGCATCTATAATAAAATGGCCCTTTTCAGGGCCACAAAGAACAACGTTGTGGCGAGGTAAAACGACACGAAGGCAACCAATGCAACAGAAAAATAGTGCCGTTATACATCGTCTACGGGAGAGATAAAATACCGACGAATGAGAACGGAGCGTCGATTTCAAATTAGGTTAGAGCATCGACACTCCATTCTTCTATCCAAAACTATCAACATATCAACATTACAAGATAAGAAGAATAGAAGCACCCAACGGCGATTACGGCGACGACGGCTGCGGCAATTATGACCGTGAAAATCACAACGAATACGACAACCACGAATCCGGCCCCAGCGGCATTTACATGCGGGGCTCCGCGATTCGTGGATCTGTTCGTCAGAACCAGTGCTCGACTTAATGGGGGACGCAGGGTGACGGAGTACCCCAACTAATTTTCAGAAATTTTAGCGTCCCTCTACTATTATTACGCTATAATCATAACGCTCAGCCAGTTTTGGGGACGTTCTTTTTTTTTAAAGTAAATAGAGTCCCTCTTTTTTAACTTTGCCAAGTCGAGCACTGGTCAGAACTATAAACGGCCCTTTTCAGGGCTAATACTGTGAAACCTTTCCGGCGTGCTTGCTTGAGCGTCCGCTGGTAAAGTGATCACGGCCGATACGCTCGCTAGCTTAAGTCTGCTATCGACCGTGCATCCACTTCGTCTGATGCACCTGCTCAGGTTATTGATGCTCAGGTCCGATACCGCCCGCCATGGCCACTTGTTCGAGTCAGCCGCGCGGCCCGGAGTATCCCTTTATTGTATTGAATGATTTGTATAATTTTTGTAATGTTAAATATATAACATAATACTTATTCCAGTGTATTTATATAAGAATCCGAATGTCGGTAACTTCGGCATACCGTTTCAAAATAAAGTGAATTAAAAACCGTTCATTTATTTATAAGTATGTACGGCGTCTCGTTAAGAAACTGTGTTAATCTATGAATAAACACAATTCTTAAATCATATTAGTAGTATGGAATAGTAGCAAACCCATATTTAAAAATTTGGGGCCCCCGGGCATATAATTTATGCCCCTTCTCCCAAAAAATAAATAATTATAATATAACACTTATTATTTCGTCCATAATCGAGATTCTTTAATATTAAAATATAACTTATAAATGAAAATCGTTTAATACTTTTTTTAATTAACAAATTAAACAAATTATAACATAATACGACATACAATTTCCTTTTTTTTTTTTTAATTAACAAATAATAATACAAGTAATAAAAATAATAATAATAATAATAATAATAATAATAATAAAAATACAATTTTTTTTTTTAATTTACAAATTACAGTGAAACCTGTATATAACGGACATTCACTGTACCAAAATAATTGTCCGTTATAGACAAATTTCAATGTTTTAAAAATTGCAATTTTTACGTACATTTGTATTATTTTATATTTTATAATATGTATTAGGTATAATCTATTACTATTACGAGTATATACACATTATACACATACATTATAAAATTAATTTTAATTATTATTTTTATATTACATACATACAATGACATATTATAAATTTATTATATTATATTTATATCAATTTATTAATTATTTCTTAAAAAATGATTCTATTGATGGTTGTTTTTTGAACTTCGATTTGGTAATTTCCAACTCGTGATGAATGAGTAATTCGCGGCACGGGAGATGGCATTGCTAAGGAAAAGATTTACAAATCTGACAGCGAACCGATAGAAACTGAATAAAAACGTTTGATACTCTTGGT